AAACAGTTGATATTAATTATGAATTATCGTATTTAATTTCAACTTTAACATTTAACATTTAGCAATCAAACATTTATATGGCCGCATCACAGCTTTCCTTTACATACGGACCTCTTCATTTCGTTCAAATATTTTAATTAATTTCCCATTTTCCAAGTGCTCTCTCTCTCTCTCTCTCTCTCTCTCTGCGGGAAAGCGGTTATAGTTAAGTGCTGTGGATGAAAATTAATCAAAATATTCAGCTTTATTAAGTAATTTAAAAGGATGTCTTTGCATATGTATGTATGTACGTATGTCTGTATGTATATGTGTTTAGGTAGCTTGCGCGCGTCTCATTGTTATGATTTAATAATACTTGCTTATTATTTCAGTATATCATTATATTTGTTGTGAAGACGGAGGCAAGTGCTAGCGGTGAAGTGAAGTTTTCTTGAAGATTGACGTGGGTCGCGCTCTTCAGTCAAATTCGGCTTTGCCTTGTGGCCTCATTGCCACTATGTCGGTGTTGCCTGTGGCATAAAGCCGGTGTTCCGGACTTCGTTGCTGTTTTCACTGCCACATCACCACCACCACCACACAGCCACAGCTTGTCGGCTGTGCAACGAAAATGAGCATGAACAATGGTTACATAATTTTTCAAAACATCAACGAATTTCGCCTTCACTCACAGTGCCGCACCAAACCGCCCCGTCAACTGTCAGGAGGCGGAGAGGAAGAGTACCAATTTGTAGTTTATTCTCGTGGCAGGCGTTGGGATATTTGTTTGCATGTGTGTGTGTATAAATGTGCGTGTGTGTGTGTATGTTTGTAATAACATCATTGTGTTGACAACAAATTCGATTTTAGCACCAGCCGCCAGCAATTATAATAATATGCTTACTTATACAATATTTCAGATTAACTCCCACTCGCTTGTGGTTGTTGTTGGTGCTTTTGCTGCTGTCGCTGCTGCATCTAAAAAGAATTTACATAATTTCATTTGCCTTGAAGAGACATTTGCCCGCGCAGCAGCAGAAGCAGCAGCAAAGTGATGACATGAGACGTTTACACGGCATGGGTGGGGGTCGGTCTGTGGAGGGGGTGGCTGTCGAAGTGGTATTTCGCGGCTTTGAAGAGGTTAAGTGCGTCATTGTTCGAGTTTATGGCATATTGATGGGCGTTGCAGCAACTTTAAAATTGACACGGATGGAAAAGCTGCTCGAGCGATTGGGGGGACGCCGCCCAGCGTGTTGAGGTCACAATTATGCTTCTCGCGTGCTGCCGTGGGGTTCACGCTCAGAAGAGCACTGTAAAATGATGTTTTTGGTTTTGATTATGCAAATTTAAATGTTAGAACAATGTTGTCCTGTTGAGTACAAAGCAACAAAAAGAATAAAAAACTATGCCCCCGTATTTGCGCAGCTTAGTGTTGTGCATTGTGGGTGCTGGGGTGCTGGGGTGCTGCAGGGCTGGAGGGCAGTCATTGCTCCTGGTATTTAAATTCAAAAATGTCAGTTTCCAATATGTCAGCATCAAAGTAATTGGCAATTTGAGCGCAAAATTCAAAATTTGTATAAATTTTAGTGGTAAATTTTTTGAAAGTCAGCGAAATCGTACAGAATCTGTAGATATACATACATACATACTCCTGTGTCCATACTTACGCTGTGCAGCTATCGATTGTAATTAAAAGCCTTTTCCTTTCTTTCCGCCTCATCAAAATTAAGTACCTGAGCATGCCTGTGGGAGTAATTTCTTTAAGGAGCCTTTGATTTGGTCAAATGTTTTGGCGGCAACCCTTTAAAAACACGTTGAAAGACAGTTATCGAAGCTTCTTATTCCAGCAATTACTTAGTACCCGAACATGCGAGTGAATGCATACAAACTCACGCAACTTGAATCGAAACACTGAGGACCATATATTTATATGTATGATATGTCATAGGAAAGAGTATGGCTTGTTATTATTGATAAAAATATTTTAATCACAGAGTTGTGAATTCAACGTAATATCCTGCAGATTCCGATGCTAAGCGAGGTAGTCCGATTTCGAAGAAATTCCTGTCAAAGCCGAATATATATATGAAACTATACTGGAACGTATGAATTCCAATTGTAGCTTTGTTTTAAGCTCTTGAAGTTCGAATAGATCTATGTTCTATTGCTCTCTGCTTTTGACTTTAGATATTGTAATCACCGTTACCGCTTCGACCGAAATTTCGACCGCTAATAAGGTTGTTAAGGCTAAATAAAATTTTAGAATTTTTTCCTTGCTAGTTTTTCTTCGGTTAAATTTTTCTTTCCACGCTTACTCTAGTGGCCCATCGCGCACCGAAGAAGCAGAGTATCGGGGCAGACCCGAACGAGTCCATACGCCATGGCTTGCAACAATTCGAACTGCGCCCATCCACTTTTTGGACGATTTTGTGGAAGGATCTTCAAAAACCAAGAATTGAAGCCGAACGACAATCATGCGCGTCGCATGTTCGGTGAATGTGCCCAAAACGAGGTGGCTACCGATTCCAATTTTCGCAAGAAAATTTTGTTCAGGAATGAAGTTCGCATCTAGTTGAATATATGACTTAATAAACGAAATTGTCGCACTTGGAGTGAGGAAAAGCAATGCATGTTTGTGGGTCCTCTGCTCAAACTTCAAATGTAGATGGCGCAATAATAGGCAACAGCCAAAACTCAAACCATCACTATACAACGGATGGGACAACTAAATAAAACGGAAACCGCTAATGGTAAAAAGTAATAGAATAGATTTTTTTGCGAAACCTTTTGATTAAAATATGTATATTTTATAACGGTCAATCTTTATTAATAGCTTCAGCATTGCACTCTTCTTCAAATATCTTATTTTTTCAATTGAAATATATTTTTTTAATCATCGCTGAATGGGCGATTTTCGGTGGAGCTCCTTCTCCACTCAAATTTTCGCAGTTGATATTCGCGTTGTTTGTAATTTTCCATCGTATTTGCCAATATTTCGACCGATATGGCAACTCTTTCTTGAGGGATGTTGGCCTAAACTTCGTCGAGGATCCTTTGGCTTGATGATATTAAACCTTTGACATCAGGTAGCCCCAGTGAAAAAAAGTTCGGTGGTGTATAAGCTGGTGAACCCGAGATATTAAGCAACCAGGGAACAGTGATTTAAAAAAAGACACGACACACGACAAGACAAGACTACGAGCTATGCGAAGAGGTGGTGTGCCTTCTTGTTGCTGTGCTGCCATCAAAATATTGGTTGTCATAGCACAGCATTCAGCACGTTCATAGCATAAGACAGACGCTTCAGACCCTGCTGTCATTAGGCGGTCTGACATTTCATGTTCAAAATTACAGTGCTGCCCGATGAGTGTATCTAATACGGCCAACACTGGATATATATATTTTTTAGATCTTACTTGATGCACAGCAGTCCGAAGCTGATAAACGAAATGATTTCAATAGTCGAACTTCTTTCCATACAATTCCGTTCATTAATGTGTAGTGCGGCGCAGCTGATTTACTTCCAATTAAAATTACTTTGACATTTCCATCTTTGTATTGCAACGCTAATTCCAATGGAGAAAAATATTTCAAATATTTTAGTGAGAGTGTTGAGGTGCGCCAATTACCGAAAGGCGGCGCTCAACCACTAAGCAGTGAGTAATTTTTTTTTTTTGAAAATCAGATATAAAATCAATTAAATTACGTCTCTATGTTTTTGTGTAAAATATATGTATATATATATTTTTATTTCATTTTTATTAATTTTTTTTTAAATAATTTTTTATAATATATGTATATTTTTATTGCCCATAGAAAATGTTTACACTTGTTTATTTGTTTTTAGAATTCTTCAGAAATATTGAATAGAAATAATTAATGCTGGTCTAGTCTTGCTAACCATTTACGAAGATGGTGTTGGATCTTAAAGCGTGGCACGCATCATAAGTATGTATGTATTGTAGATATGTAATAATAATAAGTATACGTTTTATAGAAAAATTAATGAATTAATTGTAGAACCATATTTCAGTAACTAAAGTTAGAGAGTAATTACTAAGCATACATTTTTTTGTTGTTAATTTTGTATTTTTATTTATTTTTTTTTTTGTGAATTATGTTATGTAAAAACTCATTATTAATAAAATTGAGTTGTCAAATAAGTTTACGATAAGAATATATACCTTAATTTTATGCTCGGCATTCTCCGCAGTGTAAAGTGTGCACAAGGGTTAACCTAAAGCAAGCTTCACTTGCTGCACCTGCTATTAATGTAATAGAAAAGGAATTCTAGCTTTTACTGCAAAATAGCTCAAATGTGTGGGCGGGCATTGGACGTCCAAAATGTCAAAAATATGTATGTACTTCAGTCATCCGTACGGTTGATTCCAAAATAATATATGTATGTATGTGTGTATATATGTGTGTTTGCTTCCATTTCCCCAGTTGGGTAGTTAAGCCATAATCTCTTTTGATCAGTTTTAATCATTCTTTTGTTTTTGTTAAGGAACATTTTTCGATTGTTGATTAATTTTGCCATTTTATTAGGCTTTTGTATATGTCAAACAGGCACTTAAGTGTTTTCGAAACAAAAAAGTAACTGTACACATAAAAATATCCGATACACAGTTCTCTGTTGACTTTCTTCAATCAAGCCGGAACTTTAAGACTGTGTGCTGCTCACTAGGAACGCAATTAACTTTCAAACCTATTTAATATTGTCTTCCGCTCTACTGTTTCATCGTTTGTATTTTTCTTGGTTCCACATATCGTTGGCTTGGTAAAAAAAAATTAGACCCTTCAAGGGATAACTCTCGGTGGCATTTAATGCCCACATAGCGCTGAGCTTAATGTTACGCAAATCTCAATTCAATTCAATACAATTTGTTCCAATGCCATGAGCAATCGGTGAGATAACAGCATTTTTCCACAATATTTCGCTCATAGCAAAGTCATGAAAATAATGTCTCATTATCCTTTCCTTTCTTACATGGATGACATTTTGCAGGTTTCCTTTTCGTCTCTCAAATACTTTTAAAAACTAAATATGTAGTTTAAGTGCCAACTCCAGTGCTTAGTGTCCTACCATCACCCTAATCTTATAGCTTATGCACCCATGCTGCTGCTGTATATACGCGTCTCAACTCCTTTCGAATATCGTTCGATCGGAGGATATGTAAATTTACTGCATATTTTGCATTTATTGCATATATTGGGCACCGGTTATCGATAAGTTCTTAACTTGAGCCGCGGTTGGGTTCTACTTAAAACTTTTTGTAAACAAACTTATCGGCTATGTTAGTTCCTAGACGATCCTTAGGAGCAATCGACGCGTGGTTAAGGCAGATCATCAATTAGTTTGACGTTACTGCTCACTGCATCGGTGTTGTCCTAGGGCGCTGCTAGAGGTTACTTCAAATTGGTGGCGGACCACGTATGTAGCGCAATTGAGGCGTGAAACTCATGGATAAATTGTTTAGATTGTCACAGCAGTTGGGTTGCATCAGACAGGCAGCGCACAGGAAGGTGATCAGAGCCAGTTGCATTGGCACCGCCGCTTTGGCAATGCGCCAAGCCCAACTATTTTGCCTATTTTTGTTGTTTTTGTCATCGCCCAAGTCCATATCAAACTCCAGATCTGGATCATCGGCGGGATCACCCGAGTCCGGCGCCCCAGCTGTCGCGCCACTACGTGCGACGGTCTTAGCAGCCGATAAATGCTGTGCATTTGCGGCGCCGCTATCAGACTCGGCAGCATTAACACGTTTGCCGTGCTTACGGCGGCCATTTCTTTTGTTTGTCGCAGTTTGTTTCAACGCGCCATTGTGTGCGTGCGATAGGCCAACACTTTTGCCACCAGCATGACCATTGACTGTGGCGTTATTAGCTTCGTGGTGGTTGCCTTCGCTGCTGTCGCTCTCCCCACCAGGTACTTGTAGTTGTTGTGCCTCTGTTTGCTGCAATTGTTGTTGCATTTTCTTGCTTTGATGCGTTGCCGCTGTGCGTACAATCAAATCTCGACAAGTGTTTTGTAAATTCTTCAATTCGGCCTCGGCAGACTCCATGCGTACAGCAATGGATTTCATCGCCTCGCTACCGGGCGCTAACGCCTGCTCCAATTGCTTCACGAGACGACGCAAAACGCCAAGTCGACGTTCACGCTCTGAGAGACCACCGTCAGATGTGGCGCCATCGGATATGCCCGAATCGGAGTAGCAGCCATTAGAAGCGGCGAATTTGGCAATATTCAATATGTGATTGGGATCCAAATGCTCCTGCACGGCGGTGAGCTGGTAGAAACAGTGCAATTTAATTAATTTTGAAGATTTCAGCGCGTAGTTAGTAACCATATTTACCTGCTCTTGACTGACTTGCACACGTTCCGAAAGTAACTTAGCCACGACTTTGACATTCTGTGCAAGCTCCCCCGGTGTCGCGTGGCCTTTGTCGAGCGCACCCTCAAGACCCTTCAAAGTGCCACGATCATGCCCGAGCGATTGCTGAAATTCGTAGAGGCCGTTCTCCAATTGGCGCCAGGCGATCAACGAGTTCGTGAGGGTCTCCAATTGCGTGCTGATTCTGTGTTGAGAGAAAGAGAGCATGAGGAGATTAATTGTAGTTTTTCATTGAGCTTTTTTTAGGATAACTCAAATCAGCAAGGACTTTGCTAATATTTTCTGAAAGTACACATTCCGTAACAAAATTCTCAAAAGTTTACGGCCTCCTGATGTACCCTAGCATAAAGTAAGAGGTGTCCAAAAAAAGTCCAAAAATATTAAATGCATCTAACCGGATCGATTTGAACTTTCAGGCCCAGAGACGAGGGGGTTGTTAGATTGGAAATTTTTAGGGGGTATGCAAAGATATGGTTAGTTTCGTGCGCGATCTCTTTGCATGTAGAGCATTTGGAGTTCAAGTCAGATTAGATAGGGATTAAGTCGACTATAATATCCAGATCTCAAATGTGCCAGCGGGACCAGGCTCTCTAAAGGTAGCTCGAGTTTTTCGTCTATAATAGGTGGAGTTTATGAAAATGTTAACGGACTTTCTGTGAATGGCGTTAAAATCCTGTCAGTGCGCGTTTCTGTCAAGCGGTTCTTATACATGGTGTTGAATGGAGTGGCAATCTAGGTTTCCTGTGACGGTCCTAAGACCGGCTTTATTTCCGGCTATTGTTAGTTGCCGAATTTCGCTCGAGTTCGAGCCGATACACCTTAGTTGAGCAGGTGAAAAGGTGTCCTGCAGTGAAGACCAGTATGAGAAATGTCCTCTGGTTGAGGATAGTAGAGCTTCAAGATGTAAAAATTTAACAGAAGCAGGGAAAGGATAACAATCTACGGAACCCATTGTTTAACGATAATTGTTGGCCATTCAGGAAGCCATAGCACACCAAGGCGTGAAAGCTTTAAAATAAATCAGAGTTCGATCTATCTTTTAAAAATTCTTTGATTTGTGGTTAGTTACTGGACCTACATACTTTGAGAAACTATTAACAGAGTCCGATGTTATTGATTGTTGCACAGTGCCACCAACAGCCAACACCAAAAAGAAAAAATACAGATATATAAATTTAAAAAAGGGGTTTCATACCTTGCGTCCGCATCGTCCCAGGCGCTATACAAGTCGCTAACTTCATTTTTCAAATGCTTGTGGAACTCACTCTCGGAGTTTATCAACGTTTGTATATCAAAGAGTCTGCTGCCAGTGGCCACAGTGCTCGTGCCAATGGTGGCGGACGTAACCGCGGTGCTAACGGTTGATTTAATAACCGTGGCGCTGTGTTCCACTGTAGTGGCAGTGTTATTGACCTTTTCCAGCGACTTTTCAACACCACCGTCTTCGAGACTCGCTTCTTTGGCTTCAGCAGCCTCTACAAAGCCAGCTTTGCCAGCAGCCTCCTTCAATTCCTCTTCAGCTAACGCATTCTGCAAACGCCTTTCTTGACGTGTTAGCCAACTGTGTACACTGATATTGAGTTGTAGCATTTTTGTGCGATAATTTTGTAATTCTGATTTTTCATCCTGCAAATTGAAAAGAAGAAAGGTTAATTAGTTAAACTAATTCAAAGTTCAAGTATATCAAGATATGTAAGTATGTACCCACCTGCAACGCCTCAATGGCGATTTGAATTTGCGGTTCCGTGTCCAGCAGCTCGAATGTGCTTTTATTGCCCAATTTGTTTATGGAGTGCTTCAGAATGATCATCTCCTCTTGCATTTTACGTGCGGACGCGGCATTTTCACTCCAGCCCAATAGATCCTCCCAGGCGGCTAAAATATCTGTGAAAAAAAAAAAATTAAAATAATTATTGTGTGCTGTAAGTGAGTTGTTTTTCTTTAGTAAGTTTACATGTAACGGTGCATGCAACTACTCTATGTGTGTACATATAAGTATTATATATATGCTACATACTCAGCGTACCGAGACCGAGTTAATTAGGGTTCAACGGCGCTCTGAAACGGAGCGTTTACGGACGAATTACGCTGCCCACCTGACTAAGTCCGTTGGCGGGTTAATGAATGGACAGTTTTTAAAAAATATTTGTATATATACATAATATGAACACATAACTACATAATGAATATTATATAAATTAACTACAGTTTATATAATAACGGTTATTTAGCGTATTTTCAGGATTATTCAAAGGCACATACATAGATATAATTTATCGCAGCGCCATACCATTATAGTATATTAAAAAAAATAATAATGATAATTTTCGATTTATCAAAAGTTCTCTTTGAAAGTGCCGCTGCTGCACATTGTTTTCGAAATCCCAAGAAATCGCGATTTCTTTGTGTAGGCAAAACTAACTGCGGCGCTTTTAGAATATAAATGAGACTATATTATATTTCCGACATATTTTACTATTATTTTATTTTTTTTTTTCATTTTTTTATAACAACTTTTATTGAAAAATTATAAATAAAAAAATACAGCGCAAGAAAATGCAACAAAAACAATTCATAAAACTTTTTTTAATTAATGCAAATAATTATTGTAGTAATGAGTTTACTTGAATGCTAAAGAAAGTATCGCTGCATTAGTGCTTAATAAAACTCGAATGCATAAATTTCGAAAACAATAAGGAAATTAAAAAAATATTTATTTTTTAAGTACCAGGCCAAGAAGTCTTTTTTAACAAAGCAAGCTCAGGCTAAAATGGCTAAAGGCGAGAAATCTATTCAAAGTTTCTCAAAATACTCGGAAAAATATTCATATTCTATGGTTTAAGTTTAATTTTCTAACAATGAAAAAGTGTGGCAACTCTAAATGAATGCTCAAAACTCGTTCAAGTGCTCTTTGAATAAATTGTTAATAATTTTACATATTTTCAAAATTTCCTGCACAATAATTTTAATAAGGAAATAACATTAAAAATAAATGGCAACCCTGTTTGTAAAAATTTCAAAGAATTTGTTATTAAAAACACATATATGTTAATATCTATATTTTATCACTGAAGTTATTGTAATATCATTTCGAAAAATTTTAAAACCGCAATTTATCAAAATCTTCAATTTCAAAATATGAATTGAAAACATAAGTTATTTAATAATTTCATTAAAAATGTCAAACTCTTACAAAAATTTGCATATTTGTTTTATTTATAATTTTTAAACTTAATTATATTTTATTTTTATAATTCATTTTATTGCTTTTCATTAATTAATTATTTCTTTAACTATTTTTTTATGTTATTTTATTTAAATTTATTTATTTTATTTCTATACTTTAATTTTATATTTTATGCTTCCTATTTTTTTAAATAATAAATTTTTTAAATAATAAAATTTTTATATTAATTATAATAAAGTATGAAATGTCGAATTCAGATTTCAAAATCGTACATAAGATTTCATTTGCGTTCACCACACAACACACAAAAACAAAAACAATGAATGACATATACGCACATTGACCACGCAACATGAATTCATTAAAAATTATGCTTTCGCCAAGTGCACCACTGCATTCAAGTGCAAATGATGATGTACGGATACATGCTTTAACGGTAATTACATATAAAATCACAAAAACACACAATTTTATAGTAAACCCATAAAAATAATGAGTTTATAGTTTAAATGTATAATTTTGTTTTGTTTCTCTTAAAAAAATTTGGAGTGAAAAAACCGAAATGATAAAAAAACTACAAAAATATGCAAAACTCAATTTCATTTGCTTGTGTTTTACGAGGAGAAAAACTGGAATTCACGACCGCACCTTGCGATAGCCGACAACCCACTGGTCGCATGCAGCGAGAGATGCGGTTGCACACTCAGGTGAGGTTGAGCGTGGTCGACGCTGCAACTGACTGCGACGAGACTGCAACTCTGGCCATGAAAGTTATAAAGACGCGGGTAGGCGTGTTGTCAGCTGTGGTTATGCACGCAGAGAATTAAGGTTGATGCAATGCAACCAAGTTTGGCAGTTGGGTTGGAGGCAGCGAAGCGTGTTTGAAGGCAGAGTTGCTATGTAGGTAGTTAGACATGTGTATATGTATGTATGTATGTATGTAACAAACTGATGGATTGCACAGTTAAGTGAACTACAGGAATTTAACGCGCGCTCGCACAAGGCCAAAGCCATAATTGGACTTTCTTTCGTTTGATTTCGACTGTTGGTGGTGCATGCATGAAGGTTTGTAGATACAACAAAAAAAACGAGAAAAAATTGGTATGAAAGCCACTCGAAACAGAACATAACAGAAGCATAATCGAGCACCTCAACCGGCTACCGGAATGAGATATTATTACGTACAAATAGACACACATACATATGAGATATATTGCCTTAAACCCGGTTAACATTTATAACAGTTTTCTCAAAACCATTTACATAAATTTTATGGCAAACCAATTACATAGATTGAATGATAAAGCACACAATTTTCTTGTAAAAATTTATAGAAAAAAAAAATAATAAAAAATTCGAAAGAGAATTAAACTAACACAAAATACAATAAAATATATAAAATATAAACGTATTGTTTATAAAATAAATAAAATTAAACAAAAAATTAAATAAAATTAAACAAAATATAAAAGAAATTGAAATAACAATTAAAAATACTAAGGAAAATAAAACAAATTAAAAATAAGAATTTATTTAAAAATAACTTAAAAAAAAAAATTTGAAACAAGATCTAAAATAGAATAAAATAAAAATAAAGTAAATTAAATTAAATACAATTGAATAAAATGAAGGAAAATAGTAAAAAAATAAAGTAAATAACAACATCATTAAAAAAAATACAAAAAATGAAGTATGATAAGTAAAAAAAAATTATATATACATATTAATAAAATACATATAAAATTATGAAAATGGGTAAAAATGATGTAAAATTTAAAGAAATAAATTAAAAACAAAAATTAAAACAATATAAATGAAAATTGTATAAATTAAATTAAATAAAGAAAACATAAAATAATATAAAAAGAAGAATCAAAACCAAAAAATAAATAGAATAAATTGAATAATAAAAATTAAATACAATAAAAACAATTTGTAAATTTTGGTTTGTTGGGAACTTGAAAATCGCGAATAATGACAACTTATATGTGTGCATACGTCACCTATACACCTTTTAATTACTTCGTGGTAATTAATCAAGCTTTCAATATTAATCGGATATTGTTCCGTTCAATGGACAAGATGACACACAATCATTAGTAATACATACATACAAACAAACGAATTGTATAAAAATTGCAAGTATGTATTTGTTTATTGTTGTTTTCGGGTTTGACATCAACATTTTTGAATATTTATTTTTAAACGCTGACTTTGTATTGCTCATTCCCCTGAATTTCGCATCGACAACAATAGCGGATATTGTTCCGCTCGAATCGGATGTGAGCATATCGTTTGTTATCAGCTATACATTGTACATATGTTTATCTGTACACACCCTAGTAGATAAAAAAATAAAAATGTCATTGAATATACATACGGACATAACTATTGTTTATCAAAAGCCAATGCACTTTTAGTGATCATGTTGACATTTTCAGTATTACGTAGCAGAAACAAACGTGAGCTGAACACAGCTTCTTCGTTAAGTTAATATCAAATTTCAGACATATGTACATATTTGTTGTCTGACCACTATACTTGAATAATACATATGTACATATGTATGTATAAATGCTGTTATGAATATCAGTTTGGCTCCACTATAAAGTGCGTTTGTGTCGATTTCGTATTTTATACGCACGTACATACATACATATGAAATGTATATATACCAACATATATAAGATCGTGTCATTTAGATAAGTGTAGAAATACATATATGTATGTGCTTATGTGTGTATGTATGTATGTATATATGTGGAAAACTAATGCCGGTCCGAACCGGTATGACACTTAAGTCTAATTTCTAAATTGCTACTAATTCAACTAAATGAGATTGGAAATTGCTGTTTGTACCTCAGGGCATTGGTATTTTAATTGCTCGTTAATTTTATGTATGAACATACATATGTATGTATGTATGTATCTTTGATAAAAGAAATCTTTCGATATTAATTCTTATTGCTTATTTGTCATCATACAAAAAATTCTAGCTTAAAATATTGACTTAATTCATCAATATTCACGATTTAGTTAAACAAATGTTATAAGTCTCCTAACAACTGGTAAGGTCTTTCGTTCTTTGGCATCAACGGCAAGCACGCAGAATTGACAGAGTTTTAAAGTTTATTTTTTTTTACGAAAAGTAGTGGAATTTATGATATTTAAAAGTTCCAATGAAATATATAAATTAAAAAAAAATAAATTAATTACAGCTTTCATATGTACATATGTAGGTAGGTGTTTCATATCTCCTCATATGTAAATAAATAATACTTATGTGTACCTTGTTGAGAGGAAGAACGCGATGTTGCCGACGATGAACTCGCCGAGAGCATTTCTGAGATGTCTGTTTGTACAGCGACGTTGACTTTCATTTTCACTTAGTTTCTTGTAAATAATAAACTCACTGTATGTATGTAAATGTTTTAATGTTTACAAATGTATAATTATACGCCTTTGTCCGTATGTATGCATGTATGAATTAAGACTTCTACGCACCACTTATGTACGTAACCACTATCTTGTAATGCTTTTATGGTATTACATTTGGCTAACGGTAATATTCATGCCGAGTTTCTTGATCACATGTAATGACATTTTACGTTCAGTGTGTCAATTTATGCTTTTAAAGATTCTTAAGTTTATTTTTTTTTTTTTTTTGAAAGGAATTGAAAAAATAAATATGATTTCACTGAACTTAAATTTAAAGCGCGTTTTTTATTTTCTTATCAGCTCTACAAAAACGTATGGTATGTACAAAAAGTTGTGCTTCAACATAAGAATTTAGCAATAAATTCGTTTCATTCGTGGCTTTCATGCATTTCCATTCTTCTCAGAGCACATGTTCAATATTTGTTTACGAATTGTTGTTGTTGCAATCGCTTAATTTGACATTTCACGCAACAATATATGTACATACATACATATGTATGAATGTAGACCAATGACATACTTAAACACGAGCTTAGTAGTTTTCAACAATTTAAATTTTCCACCAATATGTGTGTTTGTATGTATGTATACATATACATACATATGTTACGCCAACAAATGCAAATTCAAACAAAATTTATTTCTGGTGGGGATGACGTCGCTCTAATACAAACTTCCCTTAGTATGCCATACACACATACATACGCACATATATCGGTATTAGCCTTACATACGAGCACTGTAGGGGTGACTTCTCATTGATTCTGCGCGGTTTGTTTGCGTTTTCTTTCAATGTTTTGCTCTAAAACGCCACACTGATGTCACTAACAACTTTTGCATAGTATCCCATCTAATTTAACATACATACATAAGCATTTATATACTTAATATTTCCTTTTTTTTGTTGCAGGTACTTAAAAATATCACAGATTATTTATTTATTTATTTATTTTTTTTGTATAAAATTGAGATTCGTAAATTTCGATGAGGAACAGACGATTTTTTAACTGTCTAATGGCCTAATTTGTCGTCATTAACCAAATAAACCGTTTCAGACAATGAGTACCCGCGACCTGCTGAAATCAACCAACCACTTTGCTATCGTGAGGCGCGATACTACACTGACGGTACTAAGGCGCATAACCAAAGCAAGTGTACATATGAATGTACACTTGGCTACGCTGAACACAGTTCTCAACGATTTCAGTTACTCACCCAATACAGCTGTTGTTTAGCAGTTGTTCCCAAACTTGATGGGGATTTGTAAGCAAGAATCAAAACTAAAAACATAAACAATTTATGCTTATACATACATACTATGCGCATGTTTCATATCCACTTTGGTAACATTGATGAGAAATCGAAAATCACAGCACTAACAATTATTACACAAATAAATAAACATACCCAACCAAGCGCTCTTGAATCAAACATACGAAAAGCATAAATTTACAGTGTAAACAAAAACTTATGGAAGCTGCAGCTGTACAGTTAGCCAACTAACATTTTAACAGAGCTTTTGGTTTAACATTAAACAAATTAAGAGCTTTAAGGCAAGAAAGAGCGACACGCTCAGTAGTAGTAAACTAATAAAAAGATAGAGAGAGAGAGAGAGGAGGGAGATAGAGAGAAGGGGAGTGGGAGATATCCAAAGAGATATTACGAATTTGTTTTCCTCTCTCTCTCTCTCTTTGTATAATAATATTTCAGTATGACGAGCAATAAAATAAAATGCTAGAATATATATGGCTGGCTATATATTTTAATTGGACACTTTAATGAAAATTACTTTTGAAGCTTTATTCATTGACTACTCTTCGCTTTTTGATTTATGCGAACGGTAGTAGTTGCCAATATATACATACATATGTACATATATTTTTGTATAAAAGCTACGTAGAATTAATTGTAAATAAAATTGAAATAAGAAGCAAATAGCGACGTGAAGCAAACTTTCGGAGAAGAACTGTTAGATACTATCGCTGATTTGCCTTCATTATACCCCTCACGAATATGAAATATTGAAATATTAATATTTATTGGTACGATGAATGTAAGTATTAGAACCAGAACAGTTATACTAATCAAATTTGATACAGATAACATAAGAGCGCTGACCATATTCGTCAGGCTGTCGTCGGAATTTGCAGCTATATTTTTGTAATTGATTGCAATCATTAGTTAGAACCAGCGCGATCTGACTACTATAAACTGATTATAATAAACAAATGATTCTTAAACTATGCGATTCTGTTACATATTTCTCACAAAAAAAGGATTTAGGAACAGAAAATTTGGTATTCTGATTACCACCGAGCGAATATAACATTTATCATGTGATTACCTGCCATAAATCTTACAATTGAGTAGTTAAATTATTAAATTAGTATTTATTATAAGTAAGTTAATATATATAAATTATAAAACAACAAATGTTAAGCCTATTTATTGATTTAAGCCTAAAATACTACATACATGTGTTCATAAAAGGTATAAAGAATTCGGCATGGCTGTGCCTGCTTTTAGTTGGTTTTCATTCCGCCAATTTGTGTTTTTATACACATAAATATATATATGTATATATATATATACATATATTCTGCCAATTTATGTGTTTATATATATATTTATATATAATATGTATTTAAATTGAATAAGTATACAAAAACAAACAAAAAAATCCATTGACCTTCAATTGTTCGTTGTATTTGTACTTCAAACGAAAAAATTTAAGCAGTTGATACAATAATTAGCAAAGTATCTTTGTTCATTCAATTAATATTTTTCATTCATTACGTCATAATTTTTTTTATTTCATAATAAAAATTAATACTCTTTACCTTATACACTCATAAATATGTGTATAATAACTATAGAATTATAGATGTTTGTATGTAGGTGTATATTTTGAAACAATAACAACCTTTTCGCATTTTTATTGCGTTCAACAGTCACACCGCACGACACTCTTACACTAGCATAGACAACTCCCTCCGCACGATAGGCGAGTGAAACACTAAAAAAATGAACGTGCAGTGTAAATACCTATTTTATAGCTTACAACAATCAGGTTAATGCATTTTTTGAATGCAATAGATAAAAATATTGCTTACACACTAACATATGTATGTAAATATAATAAATACGAGTATTTGTAGCTAATATCGTGGCTTAGATATTGATAAGAGTTGTTTATTTGTATTAGTTTCAATACAAATTGACTACATCAAGGTAATAAAGGTAATAATATAATAATTCTGAATCATAATAAACTAGTGAGCACTATGTACTTATCACATTTTTCAAAATAAACTACATGCATTCAATTACAAGTGTGAGCCCGTTACCTGGTTATACCAGCTGCTTTAGTTAGTCCTCTGTTACATGTTAAAATGATGATAATGAGAAAAACTAATGAGCTAATTTACAAGTTGACATTTGACAATACACATGAGGCATGAAACAAACACTACATTCAAAGTAAACGTATATGTATACATATGTACTATAGTTAAAACCGAAAAGTTAAGCAAAAAAAAAAAAGAAATAGAACAACAAATAGCAAACTACAAATCAAACGCGTCAAATCATCAGTTTTCAAAACCAGAATGGCATCTTTATTGGTAAAAATCAAAATAAAACAAAAGTATAATTGAGAGATTGTGTAAATTCATAATATGCTTGTCAAATGCATACAATAACTTGTGTGTATATAAAACTAAGTTAGCTCTTTTCTCTTTACGAAAAAAAAAATACGAATTAATTGACTACTTATAGAATATTATAAAAAATATACTTTACTTCGACCTATATATGTAGGTATGTAGTGTCGATTATGTATTTATATAGTATGTGTGTAAATGTCATATGAAGTGGAATGTAAAGATAATACATTTAAGCTTTTAAAAACCAAAAGGCCACAAGATCACAAGTCACAAAGTATTCGTAAATCCTAAACATGCTCCAGCAGCATGCTGTTGATGCTTTGTAATATTTAGAAGAATCTTCTGAAGAATGGTATTCTATAGTTGATCAGCGTATACAAGCTTTTTAGTGTGTTTACAAAAAATCGATAGAGAGTAAAGTACATCAGCATATTGCTGACGTCCGATAAAAAGTCTATTGTACGCGCTATGAAACGTGTAATGGGCGCACACTTGCAATCGAGGTGAATACAAACAGCCAACTCACCTTTTGTCTGGCTCGCACAATGTGCAGAGACGACTGTGCCGGGCGGGCCACGGAGTACAGATTCCAGACAATTCAAATTGTCACGACAAGTCTTGATGATTTCGGTCTGAAAGAGCAAATTTGTAAACATGTATATTCAGACACTTTATATGGATTGGTTTTTTTTACTTACATAATCCTCAGGACGCAATAGGTGGCAACGTATTTTTAACGCCTCAGTGTCTTCTAGACGACTGCGACTTTGTTGCAATAGTTTACGTAAATCCTTTTCATCTGCAGAATCATCGCAACTGGACGAAGAAGTAGCTGGTATAACCTTGATACTCTTATCTAGATTGCGTGAGGAGCGACGTCGTTCGTCAACCCGACGACGACGTGTCGATGTGTCACTTTCCGATGTGCGACGTAGTGACTGTGACTGTGCATGCTGCATATTGAATTCCAATTTACGACTTGCCGTATCCGGTTTTTGTTGCTGTAGATTCAGTTTCTCCAAACCGAATTTCGGTGTAATGGTATTCGATGAAGAAGACATCGATATGACAGGACTTTGCGTTTGCTGTAAGTCAGTGGAATCTACAAATGAAAAGTAGATCACGAATAAATGATATTGTTTTATTAAGTATTATTGTGCTTATTTGAAATGCATGGTCAAATGCCGAACCTACCTTGACAAGATTTCCGGCGCACTTCTAATGTTTTACGCCTTCTCTCATATTCCAAGTCAAGTGCACGTCGACGTCTGGCATGATCCACACTATTGGCTATTGTGTCTTGCGTGATTATTTTAGTGTCTACTGGTGGCAATGAATCCATACGTGGTGGCGACAATGAATCCAAGTTGTTGGCAGCTGACAGCGAAGAACAGCAATCTGACTGCGAATCGATGAAATTTCTAGGAGAGCAAAAATTTATTTTTAGTTGGCTGTCATATTAGCGAGCAAGTCTTGCCACAACAACAACAAGCCCTGTGCGCAAAATTATCAAATTGAATTAAATTAAATTTAAATTTTTCGCACATATGTGAAGACTTCGGCACAGTGTTTTTGTTTCATGCTTACCGATAATCGTCGCCGAATTCCATAAGCCTTCTGGCTGCATCCGAGTCAAAGCCCTCAGAGTAATTCTCCGAATTATATTTTTCTTGATAATTGTCCCAGGCTGTTTCCGAAAAACTGCTGTGATCTTCATTTCCAGTGTCTGTATTAGAAATGCAATTTCCTCATTACTTTCAAGCTCACAACAAAGAGAATATTCAAATCTTAAGGACAACAATGGTCATAATTTTGGTGAAATGTTGAAAGGTCCAACGCATATTTCCATATTAAACTTAAATACTATGGCAACATAGGTTAGTAAGCAACGATTTTTTACCATGTAAAAAATTAGTCACTTTTATTTTATTTAACAAAAATTATTTCTGCAGCACAAGATGTGTTTTAAAAACTCATACATTCGCGATTTGAATTGACTTGTTTCTTTTGTAGACTTTAAAAGTGAATAATTATTATTAGCTTTCAACATTTCGTCAACGATATCGCTACGTATTTAAAATTGATGAAATTTTATGGCCGAAAATAATACACATATAATTATATTGCAATTTTGAAAAATAATTTTGAAGGCATAGATTTTTTGCTAGGTGATTTTATATCCGCAAATCTATAAATTGAGTAGTTTCGGTAATTAACGTTGCTTTTTATATTTTTACTTAATTTAATTTATTTAATTTCACTCTTTTTTGTTTTATTATATTTTATTCCATTTCGATCATTTATATTTAATTTGAATTTTCTTCATTTTATTTTTTTTTTTTTTTGTTTCTGACTATATTTTATTTAGTTTTTCTCCATTACATTTTAGGTTTATTATTTTGTATATTTTCAATAAATTTAAGGTAACACTATTTTTATTATTCAATTTAATTGATTTAATTTATTTTTATTCAGAAATATTTGAATTACTTCTCTTTTATTTTATTATTTTTTTCTTTTTAATTCATTCTAATTTGATTTAAGTTAATTTATTTTATTATTATTTTTTATTTTTTATTCTTTTTTATTTTTCTACTACTACTTTGCTTCTATTTTGTTTATTTTTAATCTATTTTATTTTATTTATTTCGTTTTTAATTTTTTTTGTATTTTAATTTAATTTATATTTATTTTTTAATTTCCTTTTGTTTTACTTTTTGTTGAATGTTTGCCCTTTTATTTTCCAATTTGAAGAAAATTTTTTAATTTTTTTTTTAACTAATGACGCTCAGGTTTTGACCGAAAGTCTAAAGTAAGAAACGACATTAATTACCGCATAACTCTATTTGTTGTACTTGTAAAAAGGCATAAAACTGCACAAACGTACATACATATGTCGCTCAGGAAAAGCAGAAAGACTCTAACTGACAACTGTAAGGACTTATATGGAAAGCAAATTCTCTTATTGACAGCAAATTTTCTTAGAAATGCAAAGAGAAACATTTTTATTAAAAAATGCTTTAAGCCTTTCTACATTTCAGCAACGACATATTTATGCCGACAGTATGTATATTTATATTTGGTTATTTATCTATATTTTTCAATTTCTACAAAGTGAGTAGATACCTCGCTGCTTCTGCGGCACTGGTGTGACAGCTTAGAACACAAAAAAGCAATGTGAAAAAGAAGTGTAAACGATAAGTGAGAGTAATATGCAACGTTCAAAGCTTCGCACATAAGAATTGCATTGCAAAAATAACAAAAAAAAAAATTGACAAAACATAGACATTACATAACAATTTAAGCATTTATGTATGCAGTGTGCGCGTGCGTGTGTGTGTGTGTGTATGTATGTGTACTAACCTCCTTGTTGCTCTTCCTCTTCATCATTCATATAAGTGGCCAAGGCGGCTAACGAACCCAGCCGCTTCTCATTGCGCATATACGCGGTGGTGTAGGAGCCCACGCGAAAGTTGGGTTTCATCAATTGAGCTTCCTCGCCCATTTCGCTTTGCTGCTGCATGCCAAGCTGTTGCGACAATACTGTGGAAGACTGTGCTGCACCACTACAGTTGCCTCCTACTGCATCTTCGTTGGCTGTTGTGACATTGCTACGTTGCAAGTTTAATAGTGCGCTTGTTATCTCACGAATTTGATGTGAAAACATCGTATCACTTGACTTCATGAGCAACGCTTGTGCCAGACGAGGCACCTCGGCTGTGTCCTCTGAACCAGAATCTGGCGCCTGCTTCACAGTTGTGTGTGTATTGGTTCCCACTAGGCCTGTATTGCCAGAAGTGGACACTTTCTTCTTGCGCGTCTTACGCCGTTTCAGCGAACCCTTGCTAGTGCTTGCCTTCACTTGTGTTACATTGGTGGTGGACGAAGAGGAGGCGCGTTGGCGTCCAGGTGATAAAGAGTCCAGTGCCGATTCGCTGATAGAGTGTGTAGCGAGGCTTGTTTGCTGATGACTCACAATCGGTGCAGTCGATGCTGTTTGCACGGTCTCTGTAGTCAATTGCGACAGACATGACACCGACCATGGTCGTTCCGATTTACGGCGTGTCTGAGGGCGCTTCACCACTTTAACATTCAGACTCTGATTGCTGCTGCCATAACCGAGTACTGTGCTGGTGCTGAGGATAGGCTCTGCAGAGCCACCAAAGCACTCGGTTGAGTTGCCGCCATATGAGTTTGTGCTTGTCTGCATGCATGTGGCGATGGACTCCGTTAGCTCTTCAGAAGTATCTGAGCACGGTTGGGGCACAGAATCAGTTTCCGACGCTTCGCCGGATGCCTCGCAGTCATCAGTTGTTTTGGAATTGGCGTTGTGTGTGTGTAAGTCATCCGTGAGAATTCTATGCCCCGGTGTTGCTGGTTGATGCTCCAGCCATTCCTTGTGATCATAAAAAAACAAAGAAAAAATAGATTTGTTATGGTCGAGAAATATATGTAAGTACTATTGTGGACAAAAAATAAGGTGAATTTGTTTGTAAAATTAAAAATCTTTAATTATTCTTCTACATCGATTTCAGCGCCTTCAAACTAGACCCCAGTCGATGCAATGCATTTATGCCAACGCTTTTTCCAATTATCGAAGCATGTCAAATAGTCACGTTCTGGTATGGGCTTCTCCTCAATAGACTCAAAACGGTGTCCCCGAAGTGGTCTCTTGAGTTTTTGGAAGAGGCAGAAGTCACATGGTCCGGCGCATACACTGGTTGGGAAACGATGTTCGCGGAATTTTTAGCGAAATGGTCACGTGGAATGAGTGCTGTGTGCAACGGTGCATTATCGTGATGAAATAACCAAGAATCGTTGGTCCATAATTCTGGTCTTTTTTTGCGAATTACTTTACACAAACTCGTTTTAACCGATCCTTCTGATATTCCAACCATACAGTAAGGTCTCTAACAGTCATTCGACGATTTTTTAGCACTAATTCCTTAATTTCATTGACTTGTTGCACATCAATTGACGCTGATGGTCGCCCGGGCGCTCCAAGTCATCAACACGTTTTCGACCCTCTTTGAAGCCTTTGTACCGCTTTTACAAGTCCTTCTGCGACATAGTTGAGTCCCAAAGGCTTTCTGTAGCATCCGCAATGTTTCAGCAGCCAAAAATTAGTTCCGCAAACTAAATTTGATCGCACTTCTTTGCTCAATTCAATCAGACATTATAAATATCGCTACAAAAAAAAAAAAAGAATTGACCCGAAATATTAAACGCGCGAAGCTCCAATTAAAAATTCACCTTACTTTTTGCCCACAGTAGCATGTACATATATATACTATATATTTTTAAAGACAACTTACTTGCACGCGTTGCTTGATCGGTCCTGGCATGGCGATCTCTCGTTTCTTTACCGTCGATGACAATTTGATGACGGAATGTTTCTGCTTCTGTTTATTCGGCGTCTTTAATGCCTCGGCGTCACGTACCAAATGCTCGGCTTCAAGTACCAGCTGTTTGATTGATTCATGCGAGAGTTTACCCTGCAATCAGGAGCACATACACAATATGCATGAGAAATGAGCTCGGCAAACGTACAAAACAGTGCGATAAGAGAGTTATTGCGATAAAATAAAAAAGGCAGCCAACGAATCAGCGTGCGAATGTCAGTAAATGGTGGGGCAAGTGGGTGAAGAGCAATTATATTATATGAATGCTCAGAGTGCACATACTCATGCATACATATAGGCTAACTTTAAATAATCCAGTCATTCATTGGGGAGTGGAGAAGTAAACGGTTTGTCTAGTTTATCTTATCGCTTGTTTGAGTTTTTTTATTTTATTTCACTTTTTTTTTTAGGAATGGCAAGCTGAAGTGGGCAAAATCATTAAAAAATGCTCGAAGTGTTGATCTTTTTGCCTTTTCTATCACTTACAAAGAGTGTTAAATACTTCGTTGTTATCATAATGCATAAAATAGAATGTATTTTTATATTTATATATAAAAAAGAGCGAAATATTTTAGTTTACCAAAACTCATTCAGAAAATTTAAAAATTGCCAATTTGGTCATTCTAAGCGCTGAAAGGGTTAATAATCAAATATACAAATATTCACATGTAGGTCTGTATGTGTGAATTGTATTTTTTTTAAAACCAATTAAGTAGGGCATTTCCAATATAATTTTGTATGTACGAGTATATGCACATATAATATTTAAAATAATTAGAGCGCAAAGTTAGCCATTTAATTTTTAGAGAACAGAAAGGTCAGCCACAATGCAAATACAAAGCCAAATTACAATAATAAACAGTTCTCGGGCTCCAAACCTAGCACGCCTCAGTAAACATACATACGTATGTATAATGTTGAAAACTTTAACTAAATGAATTTACCTAAATGTAAACGTACATATAATATGCATATGTGTGTACTGCAATATATGCACATACATACTCGTATATATCTCAACACTTATAATATAAATTTCGAAACTAAAATTTTACGAATGCATGAACTCGCTGCTCATATCCATATATGTGTATGTGTAAGTATCAAAAACGCACATCTCGTATATAAGAGAAATATGAAAATAAAGTGCCTCCCAACAAACCAAAGTTTCTTTCGGAACTAATCTCATGAGCGAGAGTGATCTTCGTAAGCGTTGAGAATTTTGTAAGGAAATTTAAATTTTTTTCAAATATCAAAACAAGTTGCCAGTCACATATGTTTGTATGTACTCGCTTTACCTTTATTTTTTTGGGAAATTTATACATTCATTCATAAGAATCCCTCGATGCAACCTAAACAGGGTTAGTCGCATACTACGGCCAACTCATCTAACATCCTACATCCTCTGAAACAGCTGGTTTCATGAATCTCTCGATGACATGGCCACTTTTGTCCACTCTTGGCGGGGTTATGCTAGCCGTTACAACAACAACAATCAGGAAAAATAAACCGTCTGCCTAATGCAGGGCTGGAAAGTGCGGTCAAATGGCCTGAATGGGAGGCAGTTAAAAGAAAAACAAGTTGCTTCAAACTCAATAACTACAGTACTGTCCCTCAAGCAGAGATTGGGTCGAAAACTGAAGGTGACACCTGAGCAATTGCTTTAATAGGGAAATTTAACGGCCGCCATAGGCAAGTGGCTAGCAAAGCTTACTATCATGCGGAGGGCCAAAGGTACAAAATTAAAGAAACCTAATTTAAAATAAAAGAAATATGCCACCACAAATTGAAGGAGGAGCTCGGTCGAAAATCGCTTTAGCAATTATGGTGTGCAGTTGTTATACAGTCGCCCAAATGAAGTTATAAATCAAGGAACGTATAGTATAAGGTCGGAAATGATGTGATTGAAACAACGAAAATAATAAACAAAAATTCCTATAACAAAAACAGCAATTTCTAATGTATTTTGAAATTTCCCCTGTAGAGTGTTTTCAGTGTTGTTTGTTCTTTTCAACTGATTAAAATAATTAGCTCCGAATTTAGTTATTTCATGGGTGAAATCGTACAAAGAAATGAATTTTCTTACAATCAAATCGGTTTTTAACATTTTTCCTTTAATAAAGCATACCATTTTTGAGGGAGAGTTCTAAGTCCATAGAAATTAAATGACGAATTCAAAAAAGGAAATATTAAAAAATTGTTCCAGAATCAGAGATCCGTTTGCTTATCGTCCCATGGCCTTTTCGTTTATTGGGTATAAACAAATTTAAGGTGTATGTATGTACCTGTAAGGGTGTGTGTGCAAATAATTTTCATTGCTTGTTTGCGCATACAAATACATATACATATGTATGTATATAAGTGTATAAAGCAGGGTAATTACGGTATTTAATTGCATACGGTGTTTGTTATAGGCTTGCATGTTTGTATAAATATATCTACATACAGACATTTCTTATATATGTATGTGCATATGTACATATGTCAATACAATGTTTTACTATTATCCAGGTACTGAAATTCATACCCGCTAATAAAACAATTTTCAACAATAACAACAATAGCCATAAAAAGTAGATAAACCTGCGTTACTTGAATGTATGTTTTTAGTTTTTGTTTTTGTTCATTTGTCAGGCGACGACAATAAACGGAAACAATTTTTCAAAAGCAAATGAAAATTCAAAAAATTGACCAAAGCATTAACAGCCAATGCTAACTACATACATATGTATGTATATATGTATATATGTATAAATGCATGTATAATATGTATATAATATAAAGTTGGTAATGGTGAACGCCTAAGTGTAAGCGTGCAATTTGATAAATCAGTAGCAGTAGCAGCAGTGGTCACAGAGAAACTGGCCAAAGTAAGAGGACAACAAGACGGAAACAAAAGAAAGGAAACAAGTAGTCGAGTCGATGATACAACGGTATAGCGATACGACTATAACTGCCGCCGCCGTCGCCGCCACCACCAAACAACCAAACAACCAAACAACCAGACAACAAACATCAGCAGCAAATGTGGCGATTGGACGTTTGTGATAATTAATTACAATTATTAGTTAAACCATTGCGCACGTACAAACGGACATGCATACATACATACATCTGTACATGCACTTGGATTTGGTGGGCAACACAATTGCCAATTAAGCCTCTGAGCATCGACATTTCCACCAAAAACCATTAGTCTATATATTGTAGGTACACACATATAAACCTGCATGTATGTGTATGTAGGCATGTACGTACTGCACGCAAAGCCTTTGTGGCAGATGCAATTTCAAGATTTGCTTCGGCTACCGAAAATTGGCTTATTCTTCTTGTCGTGCAATTTGGCAGCCAAACATAAGGAAAGCCCACATTTCGGTGGCCTTTTCTGCTGCACGCAGATTGGTTGCGGTGACCATTGGTCGATGACAGCTGAAATTTCCCATTTATTGAGTTTTTAAATAATTGACCAACAACAAGAACAACAACAGCAAAGCGCAATGTGCCCCTGGCATTGTGCACCAATTAACAAGTGTACTTATATGCTGTATGGACATGAGTGTATGCACATACATACATATGTATGTATCTAAATATATATATGTAAGCGAAAGAAAAATTCAAATATGAAAACTCTGATTCCGTGATTGACATTCTCATTTAATTGTATGCCTGCACGCAAATAAAATCGAAACCAAAGTAAACCCCAAACCCCAAACCCGAAACCCGAAACTCGAAAGTCGAAACCAAACACAATATCGTATTCGAAGGCATCACGAGCTTTGATCTTAAGTTATTAAGCAAGAAAACTGTATTTGTGATTAATCACACTTTCATATGTATGTACTAGTAGTTTGTATGTATGTATGTATATAGGCATTTATATTATTCACTTTAAAAAATAATTGGCTCACCAATGGGATTATTTTTATTTCTCAAGTCACTTTTAGTTTTCTTACGAATTATTACTGTTTTATCAAAATACTACGCTCAAAAGCACTCTTTTCATTTTCCCTTCTGCATAATTTTTTGCACAACTTTCACAATGAAATAGAGCAGACTGATCAGCAGCAGCAGCAGCAGCAGCTGTATGACTTCACCGCAAGCCAAACGAAGAGTTGGTGAGACAGGCGAACGAACGGCAGGGCAAAAGGCAATCGTTTGCGAAAAAATGTTGATTTTATTTTTCCAATTTTTGTTTTTTTTTTTAATTATTTTATTTCTTTTTTGTAACTACATTTTATTTAATATGGTTGGCGAAAAAGATAAGAAACAAATGTGGAACGGCAGGGTGGTGAGAGAGGGCGAAACGCACATGCATATCTATATATGTATGTATTGTATATATAAAATTAATTATAATTAAATGTGAGTATTATGTTTGCTGCAGTATTCAGGGCGTACACTCTCGATAAGATAAGCTAACAAAAATCGATACAAACCCACACTTAATCATTTGATATAAATGTCTGCGTACATACGGACATACGAACATACGTATTTTGATGTATGTACAGTTCATATTATATGTATTACAATATTATTTTATTTATTTAAATTCTAATGTGCTTTTTTGCTTGAAGGATTTTTATCTATCCTTATCACACTTGCTGCTGCTCACTGTTAGTTTTAAAGCTCTGCCAATTTCATAAAGGTTTATGGGATCACAATTATTGTTAAATATTTAAAATCGCTGGATTTTAGGAATAATTAATTTTATATTTTTAACACTAACTAAGCTTTTCATAGCGTTAACGCATTGTTTATATTATTTTAAATAATTTAAGAAGAGTTCATATTGTATCTATGTAAACGAAAGAAACTATATTATGGCGTTAAACGACTGATCTGTTTTATAGCACAGTTAATCCAGCAACTAAAATATGTCTCTGTTGAATTTATAACTTCTGGAGACGGTGGTTTTCATTTACAGAAAATAAGAGAATTACAATATAAACAACCGACAGCAGGTCTTGAATTTCTACTTGATTTTTAGTAGAGTTTATCATTATGAATTTATGAGGTTTTTGAGACAGATTTTGAGAAAAATAATAAAAAATTTTTGCGATTTCAAACTTTAAGTATATACATATGTAAATGCAAAGAATTTGACGAATATTTGATCAAAACCTGAACAAAATCGCTTGTATGGAGACTATATGATATAGTCCTACGATTTCGATGATTTACTCTATTAATGTGTAATTCATCATATGAGTGCAGAATTCAAGCTTTTAGATGCTTTTTCGACAAAAAACGTAAAACTACAAATCTGAAAAAATCGTTCGTATATACTCGTATGCCATAGTGGTCCAATATGGCCGATGCCAACAAACTAGCTTTTAAGTGTAACAAGTTCGGTTGAAACAACTCAAAAACTGATGGTTTGCGTTCTAACAGAAAGGCAGACGGATATAAATCAATTCAGCTCTTCGTTCTGATTAGATCGGTATAAATTTTGGTGGGTCTATCTTTTCTCCTTCTTGAGAAAGGTATAAAAAAAATCACAATCACGGAAAATTAATTTTCAAACAACATCAGATGTTCGTTTCTATTTCGGTCGTTCAGAAGCGGCTTAAAGGAAAGGCGGTTATACTCGTAATACGGGCTCCAAATACAGAGATGATCAATGAATATTCATTAAAAAGAAAAAATATTTGAAAATTTTACATTCCAAATCTTGCTTTTTTCGCGAATTTTCGCAAACTCCATTCATTTGAGGTAATCTTCGGCGACTTTTTGGCACATATGAGGCCAGAGCTTGATAATTATGTTTCACGTAGCCTCACAAAAAAACTCCAACGGTGTCAAATAGCTCGATATCGATGGTCAATTGGTATTGCCAAGCTGAGAGGTCACGCGGCAGTTTGACAGCTGTCAAATTACAATCCTATACTTTTGAAACCACGAAATAGGTAGCCTTGTACGTGTATATTCAAACACAGAAATCGTATGTAAACAAAAAAGCAACATATAATTTAAAAGTCTACGAAATTTGAATGGACTCATTTTAGTACAAATTAATTTAATTTTCGTATTTTTGTTTACAATAAAAATTTTTAATTAAGGGACCCTAACCTGATATTGGGAAAAAAATCAGCAAAGTCTGTATTTTTTTGTGGGATAGTGAAAGGCCCTACGAACTTTGACTTTACGAACCGGTTTTGACTATTAAATTTGTTTGTTATTTGAGATTTTAAAACGGTAAACAAATAGTCGAATTTCAAAACGACGGCTACAAAATGGCGCTTTTCGTCGGCCTCTGCGCGAAAATCATGGCCCAACAACTTCAAGCCTACAGCCTCTTGTAGTGGACTGAAATCAAAAATGGTTGTCATTACTTGAAGATCATGAAGCTTTTTACGTCCCGAACTTGAATTGAAACAGTTTTAACTATAAAGTTTATTTTTTTGCTAGTTTGCACTTCAATTACGTTAAAAAAATATAAATAATTTAATAATTAATTATTAATGCTTAATAATCTAAGGGTCAAGGCGTACAAAAAACTATATACTTTGAAACAGTTTTTAGATAAAAGAAATCGGATGCACAGATCAAGCCCGGGTCTTGAAGCTAGAACGGAAAATATGATTTCGAGAAAAACGCGTTCAAAGTTTTTTGAAATTTTGCCTTGCGTGCGTGGGACAGGTGCGTTCGAGAAGCTGCCATTTGAAATATATTCACCATATTCCAAAATCCCCTAAAACAAATACTCTGCAAATTTATGGCTTTCATATAGGAGATATTCGTATATTTGGAAATACTCCTGGTAGAAAGCTACACGAAATTAGCCACAAGTACTTCGAGAATATATGAGAATGAAGTAAAAGAACCGAAAAATATCTATAGAAGGAGTTTTCTGGCAGGGGACTTCTGTCGGGATCGCTATTTTTTCCCATTTAACCTTTATTTGCAAAATTTATTATAATTTTATGGCATCTATAGATATGCATGATCAAATAGCAAAACCAGTTAAATTCAAGTATTTGACATATACATACATACATACATATTTACAGATAGCACTTGAAAACTTTATGGGAAGCACAACAAAATTAAAAAAAAAAATCTTTAAAATGCTTTTCAACATCTAGACCATTGCGACTATATATTGTATATATATATATATGTATTTTAGTACTTGAGAACACAGCAAAATTGAAAAAAAACTTATATTTATATATATATTTATTCTGCTATAGCCAAAAACAGTGTGTGAGGTGTGATTTTTGCCAAATTAAACTGCATTTATATGTATATATATGTACATATGTATTTGTGTCTGTGCATGCAAACAAATAACACTTTTGGCAAATAACAAATATATATTGACGGCATATCATTGTCTCAAAATTTCGCTTATCTAAAGATTTGACAACAATTTAAGACTTTGTGTTACGTTTAAATGGTGAACCGTTATTGTTTTTAGGAAAGAAGCAAGATAATTGCACCCACATAAATAACACAAGTGTGTAGTGACACGTAGATACATCCATACTCGCTTAAAAACATACATAATCGAATATACAAACGAATATGGTGTGCGTAAGACAACACTTGTATGAGAACATGCTTTCGTTACCGTTAAAAATATTGCCTTTCATCACACAAATATTCGCAACGAGTTAAAACTAATTGGTATGCGAAAAACAGTGCAACAAATTAATGTCTTTCCAAAGATAGTACAAATTGCTATGTAAATATGTACATAATATGACTCAATAAATCAGCTGTGCTGTTGTACATAAATATACATATGTACATGTATACGTACTTGCAAGAAAACATCTGCATGAACAATTATGTATGTATTAAGTTCCAAAAAGAAAATGCACTTGTAAAATATATAAAATTTCGATTTTACATACTCGTATATATGTACATACCAAATACACACTCTGGTGGTGGGCTGAGCCGCTCTGGAGTGGAGTGCGTGGTTGCGCGTTAGGCGCTCAAACACGTTTAGAAGGCCGGTCAAGTGCATTGACAACACATGTTGTTACACAACACAAATACACACATACACATACATATGTACATACATACATATACACATGTATGAACGGCAATCCCCCGGAGGACGTGCGTGCCAGCGCGGCTGCTAGTAATATCTACGCATATCAGGGTTTACAAATTTATGGCGCTCAACTTGCCAATTCGCGCTTTTTGCCACAGGTAAGATTAACATTTCGCTGCTGCTTTAATTGTTTTTAAACCGAAATTTGTAAAATATTCACACTGTTTGCCAAACGCAAAGTGCCAATGACGGCACTGTGGGTAACATGAACGGATTTTTTCAATACAAAAATTGAATATTCGAAGGGATCTATTCATTTTTAAAATTTAGTTATCATTTTACAAATATCTTATAAATTTTTCCTTTGTGTTGTATTGAAGTTGAGTTTGAGTATTTGATTTTTTATAGCATTTTAGGGGCAAAAAAATCGAATCGCTTTTTTGTCTTATTTATTTCTACAACTCTCCTGTATATTATCCAAAATTTTCAAGTCGGTCCGAGTAAAAATTTCAGAGATACAAGCTTGGGAAGGAGCGCGATCAAAGACCACCAGGCTCAACGCTTGAAACTCTGAACACTTTTTTCGAGATTGCATTTTTAAAACCGGTGAGTAATTCTTTTTCAAATGCATAAAATACTTTGAAAGTAGCTCTTTTGGCCCGAATATGTATGCATGTATATCCAAGTGATCCCTTAAGGACCCTCATAATTTTAGAAAAGAAGTGGAAATGAATAAAAAACGATGAAAAAAAACAAATAATCGAACAAATCGAATAGTAAAAGCCGCATTAGAATGAACTAACTGACTGAATTATTAATTTCAATGGAAAAAATTTGCAACTGTCACCATAGTGCACGCACCGTCGGCCAATTTGCAGCCGCACTGCATGGGAAATGTGTGAAAGTAATCAGTAATTTATTTATGTTGTCATTGCAGAGCGATGCACGTAAAAATGTATGTGGATTGTTGCATACATGGTAAGGTATATTGCAGTCGCCTCGACAAATGTGTTAGATCGATTGTCAAGACCACAAGTCAAACACAGCACACCTCTCGCCCCCAGCAGGCAAAAAGCGAGATATTTTTTTTTCCAATTGCGTACGCTGTAAACATTTTAGGTACATTTGTATGCATGGATATAGCACGGCGGACCACCAACTGTGGACCACATACTACAAGCCTAGTGACAGAAAAATATATTGCAGAATACTATGGCTTTATTGCGTGGCCAAATCAATAAAGTTGACACGCTGGTTGGGTATAATGAAAGCTGATATTTTGTAAAACCAGACGGTATTATGACAAATACATATGCACGCGTATGTAGATTAGGTATGGGAATTATATACAAATGTATGCACGTGAAATTGAAATTCCAAAACATCACTTTATATTACGATGAGGATTAGTTTTTATAGCTTCAGAAAAGCCCTAAGTTTAGGTGATTTTATTTTTTCGGCTTTACTGGCATAATTCGCTGCAATTTGCCGCAAAGCTTATTGCAAATGAGAAAAGTAAAAGTTTGATACGTGAGTTTATATTTTCAGTCACTTATTCAAAATTCAAAAATTTATGTTTTTCTTTACCTTCGTCACGCTAGCTGCGCTGGCGCTATCACCTCGATATGCCGAGTGAGTCGCCTTCGTTGACTTAGTATTTGGCGAGCGTGGTGGCAGTAGACTTCTTTTGGTCTCCATCTGCTGCAGTAGTTGTTGTTTTGTGGGAGTTGATGCGGTGACGTTTTTAGGAATCCATTGGGCAGTGTAAGAGACTTCATTCTGAAAACAAGCAAACAAACGAATATACTTTATTTGTACCTATCAATTCTACATTCTTTTTAATGCGCACGCACTAAGGACGTATGTATGTACAATGTATGTGTATATTAATTAGGGAACTTCTTTGATTAAATAAATAATGGAGCAATAAACAAAAATAGTATTAATTCATCAATGAATAATCAACAACAACTAATTAATACATACTAAAAATAAAATAATAACAATAATAAACAAATTATTGGTCCAAAATAACTAATATATAATAAATAATTTAAATTATAAATTACAAATTATGATTGATCATTAATTAATAATAAATAATAATTACGCAAATAAATTATAAATAATTAAATAATTCATTCGGAAAGCCAGGGTTCGGGTCCTGGTTCTACCAACAACCAAAATAAAGAAAATTGGGGTTTTTAAATTGCGTTCTCCCCTCATACCACAAATTGTAGGAGAGCTCGGCTGAAAATCGCTTCAGCGCAAATATAATAAACCATAATTCATAAATAAGAAATTAAATACAATAATTATTAAATAATACTAAATAAATTATAAATAGTAAAATATCAAATAAAAAATAATTCATAAATAATAAATTATTAATACATAATAGTAAAAAGTCAATAAATATTATTAAGTAAACAATAAATTTTAAAGTAGAGGTAATTAAATAATAAATTATTTATGAAAAATTATTAAATTAATAAATTATGAAGAATAAAAACTCAATAAACACTATTAAATAATTACCAAATAAATTATTAAATAACAAAAAACTAAATAAATTATAAACTATAAACAATTAAATAATACACGCATTTCATATAAAATAAAATATGTAAATATTAATATAAATAATGGATTAAAAATTATTATTTAATATAAAAAAAATTATTAATTAATTAGCTCAGTGTATTTGCTATAAATTATTAACAATAAAATAATAAATTAAAATTATATTATGAACAACAATTAAATAATGAGTTATAAATATAAAACAATAATTATAGTAATTAAAAGGTAATAAATAAAATATAAATAATAAATAATCAACAATGAATAGCGCATTTAAATTAATTAGTTAAAAATAATCTATAACTGTGCACAACAAAATTTGATTAACAAATATGCAATAGTCGATTCTTAAAGAATTCTTTCACTAGAAACTCTACAAGACTGTATGGGCCGTGATAAAAGCTTTTTTGTTGAGCCAGTTGAAGAAATTCGAGCTACATAAGATGTATGTCTAATTTTTTTATTCAAACTCAATTCGTTCTTTGAATATAAATAACTATTTTTGTAAAATAAATTTTCAAAAGAGTATAAGCGATAAATTTCATATGTAAGCAAATATTATAGTTAATATTCAAGAAAATCGTTCACCTTTTGTGACCGCTGTTGTTGGTGCTTCTCTAGTGGTAGTTTTTGATGTTGCTGCTGGTGCAATACAGCAATACGCTGATTATTATTACTACTGCTGTTATAATTTCCATTGTTGTCCTGGTTGTTGCTATTGCTATCACTGTTGTTGTTGTTGTTGTTGTTGTTGTTGTTGTTGCTGCTGCTGCTAATTTTGTTTTTGTTGTTATTTTTCTTATTATTGCAATTATCAACATCGCCATTATTACTATTACTATTATTATTATTATTGGCACTGTTGGCTGTGATCGCACCAACCACACCACCGTTGGCCGTAGCATCGCCGTATCGCATTTGCATCATTTGTTCGGATTGGTTGCAGTTGCCAGCGATTTGTAATTCCATTTCGCTGCGATGCATGCGTTGGAAATGCATTTGTGTAATTTGTGTTGTATTCGTGGCCGATGTCGTCTCGGTGAGCAGATCGTTTGAGGAGCAGCTACTACTTCTGGTGCTATAGCTGCTGCTGCTGCCACTGCCACAACTGGCAGCACTACCTTTGGCGACAGTTCGGCCAGCCGTCGATGGCGGAGGTGCTGCGGCGCACACCAGTGGTGATGATATTTTTGCTTTTGTAGTTATGCACACTGGAGTCAAATGTATTTCGGCGTGTGTGATTTGTGTGCGACTTTGTGTTGACGACGAGCTGATATCTGATTGCACAGCACAGCAAATAGTCGCTATAGCTGGCTGTGTTGTTAGTGTTGTCACACTAGCTTCCTTGTTCTCCTTATCCGAGTCTGAGTCGGCATGAACGACTTTCGTGGTTGTTGCTGTTAGTGCTAAACTAGATGACACGGCTGATGACTGAACCCCATCGATGACTACAGTTGTGATGCAGCTGTTGTTACCTTTGCTGTCGTCCCCTTTACGTGCACATTCGCTGATCAGTGTGTCCGCTTGTGGTGGCGGCGGCGGCGGCAAGACGGACGAATACAACCAACCACCGTCGTCGTCCGATGATGCATCAGCCGATTTCAACAAATGATGCTAAATGAGTTGAAACAATGAGAAGATGGAGAGATATAAACAACAAAAAATTAATAAACCATACAAAATATATATGTACAATTGCTCATGCAAACAAACGGATATACATATCTACACACATACATACGTAGAAATACAATATGAATGGCATACGAGACTGACAGATAAGTAAATATTAATTAAGAAATAAAGACAAATTTAACAAAATGCTATTTTCTTGGTTCGCGGCATGCAAACATGCGTCGGTTGTTGCGGCATCACGACAAATAACAACAAAATATGCCTACTTGCAAAACACTGTTATGTAGCAAACTGTTATTGAAAAAATCATTCACAATCACTCTCTCATTTTCGGCTGAGAGGTCTGAGTTTACCATTTACAACGAGTTTCACATGCTCTTGACTGAGCCTTTGGAGATTGAGGTTCAGAGTATATAGAATTTATGGAGGGAAGATTTCTCCAGCCTCCTAAATGGAAGAGTGAGTGAAGCACCCGGAGATGGCGAGTCCGTAGCCTCAATCAATGATTATGGTTCAGACGTTCCCCTCTCGAATATGAGATTGCTTACTTAATGCGCTATTCAAGCATGGTGGCGTAGAACTCACAAGGCGCATGCATCAGTTTATTTGTAGAACATGGTCGGAAACAAATTCATAGAAAACTCCTCTCTCGACAAAAAAAAGACCAAAATCTACTGGGGAAGATCAAGATCATCCTACGTTGATAGGATCATTTTGAGTTCCAATCGGCGCATCCGCGGTAACCGAGTGGCTAACAGTGCGAACTGCCATTCGGAAGGCCAGGGTTCAAGTACTGATGCGACCAACATCCAAGAGTTATAGAAAATTAAATTAAATAAAAAATTAAGTTAAATTTTCTAATTGCGATGGTCTCTTGCGAGAATGTCGATAAAACATGGAAATATTGGAGCCTGATACGAGCACTACTTCGGTTGCTCAGGAGCTAAATCCGATAAATAATGCTATGATTTCTCAAAATATAACTCCTGTGTCTTTGAAAGCAATTCAAAAACCACCTGAAGATTTTTTCTTTTACAATTTTCTGAAATAAAAAATTATTAGAGAGCGATAAAATGGGTGAGTTAGTTATTCGCCGCTGCGAGCAAAAACATAGAATGCAAGCTGTTAGTACTTTGACCCTATCATCCTGAAGCTCCGAACACCAGCCCATCAAAATCTTTGGTGTAAACTCACCAAAACGAAATATTTATTGTACAATATTTGAATATGCCTTTACCTATATACGAGTATATAAACGTATTAGAGTACACCTGTACAGTGGCAATACCACACGTGTGGTACGGTACTTACTTCGCTTGTTTGTGAGGCCGACGATGACAGACCATCTGGTTGCATTGGTAAGTCGGCGGCATCACCGATGCTGCTGCAATTCGTCTCGTTGTCCGTATCCAGGTGCTTGAAGTAGAAAACAGCGCAGTTTTTCGACTTACGATTAGATCGGTTAAACTTGGAGATGTCAGTGTGGTGTTGGTGTTGTTGGTGGCGCTTGCGCAACACCGTTGGCGATTTATTGTTGTGACTATTCGGCGATATGACGGCAATGCTCTTTTGCTTCAACGGCGGCGTACCAACGCCAACCTGTTGGTTGTTGTGCAGGATTTGCAGTTTTTGTTGTGTCTGTGTTGCCGTCGAGATGGTGGAGCCGCTGGTGTTACTGGCAGTGGTGGTGTTTAGGTCAGCTGCAATCATTGACGCGCTCAAGGGGACTAGCATTTGTTGGTGTTGCTGTTGTTGGTCGTCGACGCCGTCGTTGTCACCATCTGTGTGCAAATGATTCATTTTCGTTTTCAACGACATCAATGGCGTTGGTGTACTGCTGGTTGAGGCGATTTCCCGCTGTTTATGAACAACTAAACCATCTGCGGCCAACTGATAGCATTGGTGGTAGTGATGGTGGTGGTGGTGATGGCCACTATTGTATGTATTGGCAGTGTCAGATGTGGGAATATCAGGTGTTCGTGGTGTTTGGTTAGTGACGTTATTGCCACTTTCCGCGCCAATCACCGGCGTGACGAATGTATTTGAATTGCTTGAATATCCTTCATGCCACAAATGTTGTTGTTGCTGCTGCTGCTGCTGCTGCTGTAGATGGTGGTTACTAATGCTGGCGTTGTATAACTTTCTTTGCATCAACACCAGCTGCTGTTGTTGTTGCTGATGTTGTTGACTAATCTCCCAATCACTACTCTCAGAGTCAGCCTCGAAGTCGGTGAGTGTAGTTGCTCGCGTTGGATCGTCCAGTCTACTGAGACGCTTGTCGAATGTTACCAACACTGTGTTGTAGCCTCCTCGACCCGCTCTGCCAAATCTGCTGCGACCAAAGTCCACTTCGTCTTCGTCCTCCTCACCTTCGTCGTCACCGTCTTCACAGTCAGCCTATTTTAAGTGGTGTTAGTGAAATATCGCAAATATGTTTTACATAGATTTAATATATTCAAGAATTCGCATTGGTGTCGGTCGCGTTCGGGGTAGAACATCAAACGCCGGAAATTATTATTTGTATTTTAAGTAGCATGCTTTCGGAGAAGTTTCTTTTAAATCTATATTTCTTTTCAAGCAAGCAGTTTCAGTATTTAAAGCGCTTATTTCTGCTTAATTAAAACAAAGCTTAATTTTAATATTTTTCATTTTAATTTTTTCCTAACTAATTTAGTTTATAAAAATCTATCGGAATTTTGAATTTCTTTAATTATTTTGAAAACAAAATTATAAAAAATACTAGCTTTTTTCAAATCTATTTGATTTCTCGAATATCTTTTTCTTTTTTAACCTTTTTAATAATAAAAGTGAAAATATTAAATTAAACTGATAGCAAAAACGAACATGAAACATTTATTCTTTCGAACACATAAGTACGAATTGAAAACGATTAGTATCAAACGTTGAGAACACTTCATGCATGCGACAAGGCTTCATCAAACACGTTCCAAACAAACAGATTTATATTAGTAAAACCAAAAGCAAAAGCACGGAAATTCATTGCACAACGAAAAAAAAAACAAATTTCTTACCTTAATAGCGCTGCTGGCACCTTCTTCTTCTTCTTCTTCCTCTAAATCACCACAATCCGGCAGTTCGCAAACAGATGAAGAATTATGTGTATGATCACTTTCCACGCCTGACCCGATATTATTTAAATCGTCCTCGGTTGCAACAGCAATTTCATCCTCTTCGCAATCGGATGAAGGGCAATTCACAATTTCATCGTCATCAATGCAATCGATGGCATCAGGAATACTCTGAAATAAAAAACAAAAACAAATTATATTAAGATATTTCATTTTTTCATTAAGATATATATGAGATTATACGCTGAGCAGAAAAGGTGGCACCCATATCTTGCCACACGGTCACGTAGGGATCGAAGAAGGGTTGTTGGCCTAATTACGAGACCCATTCTACTGGCATCCCCTTTAAGCCGATTGGTCAATAGTTGAAGTGAAAGGAGGTAGGTATGTGTTAAACAACGGAGCATCTGCGCTGATTCAGTCGGGTTATAGCTAGAACTCGTTTTAGATATCTCGGAGCTTCGCAGTTCAAAGGAAGGCTCTCTTGAACATTGTGATAAATATTGACGACGACGGCTCCTCATCCAGATCTCCATCTGGTACTACAAAGGACCAACGGATCTACATATGTAAGGCCCATCAGCCGGTCAGTGTAACCTAACCGAACCAATATTTCGATTTTATTAATTATTTTATGAGCTTAATTAATTTATTTTTATTTTTACAAATATTCATTCTAAGATCTTTGAATGCTCGCCCAATTTTGTTGTTCAAATATTCTATATATGAGTAATTTCGAATTTTGCCTCAAGGTTACATTTGGCATAAAAGGAACTCTTTTGCGGTTATGGTTAGGTAATAGCGCGTATAATTAGCTTCGCTTTCGTAAATTTCTTTTTACCTTGAGGTTTTCAACAAAAATAAATTGTATATATTTTTGGTATTGGAAATACTTTAATTACCTCCTTTGAATCTTTTATTGCAAGGTTTTTATACTTGGTCTGACTCACGGAAAACAAGACTGATCTATAAAAAAACAACGAAATACATTTGCTGCAAGGTTATACGCAAATTAACTTCCTGTTGCATTGATAAATTTGTAAGAATGGTTTTTGAAGTCATGTGTATACACGCTCTTCACCACAACGGTTTCGTTCATTCAAATATTCAAAACAAAATTAAACAAAGCCAAGAGTTGTACGGAGTACGAATGGTAGTGGTAAAAATGTCCAAAGAGTCTCTACCAAATTGGATTGCGGCCGGTGCTTCACGTAAATCTTAGTCATTTGTTGAAGAAAAATCTCGTTTTCCGTGGGACAAATCTTGTACTTCTCAACCAAGTTAGTATATGTATGCATATTTTTCCAATTTTATGTGTTGAATAAAAGTTTTAGCAAGATTCTTTTGTACTATATTACATGTTAATTTATTATATACAATAAAACTGTGTAAATATATTTTAATTCTATATTCTTGTGAGCAGCAAATAATTTTGGCCTAACTCCTTTACTTTGCACATATGCGCGTATGTGCGTACTGTCTATGCAGATAAGTATGTAGTTACGTCTATGCTTAAAAATAGCATATATGGTATACATATGTATATTTATATACATGCCCTTATGCCATGATTTATGTCCAGCTAAAGAAATATTTATAGCGCATTCACGAGCATATTTGTTTCTATTTGTATATACGTGTGTATGTATGTAAGAATATACACTATGGTATTTGTTGTTCTCATTAGCAAATTTGAAGCAAATTTGTAAAGTGAAAAGTATCTTAAAACAGCCATTTCGGCAACATTTAGAAATCTGGTTAATGTAATACATAAACACAGACAAACATATGTACGGATCTGCAAATTCAACACTACATAATAAAAGAATTTTTCCGAGCAGAAGTTTTGTTTGATGATCTTGAGTATTTTTTTCTGAATAATTTTTTCTTTCGCCTTGAAAGTAATGATACATACATGCAGACATATATATGCTCTACAAATTCACATAGAATTCGTTCGAAATTCCACAAGAAAAACTTGATGCTGAGATTTATTCAATACTCGATTCTATACCAAGTACTTAATTTAAATTAAGTTTAATTAAATTTTTGATTTTAATTTAATTAATTTCATGTTATTTTATATTACTATATTTTATTTTACTTTGCAATATTATTTGTTGTTGTACTTCATACTTCTATTTTTATTTATATTCCATATTATTTTATATCATTTCTTTATTTAAATTTTTTAATTTAATTTATTATAATGTTTTTTCTTTAATTTCAATTTAAAACTTTTATTTTGTTTTTATTTTGATTATATTTTAAATTGTTTTAATTTAATTTTATAGTGTTTTTGTTTCATTACATTTTATTTTATTTTTTATTTATTAAATTTATTAATTTATTTTATTTTGTTTTATTTTTAGTTCATTTCTTATTTTACATTTTTTTAATCTGACTTTGTTTTTATTTTATTTCAATATTTTTATATTTTGTTATTTTTTATACCTTACTTATATACACATATTTTTTTATCATAATTTAACTTATATTATTATATTTTAATTTCATTTATTTCGTTTTTAATTTATTAAATTATTTAATTTAATATTATTTTTTTATTTTTTATTTTTTATATTATTTAATTTCATATTATTTTATTATGCATTTATTTTATTTGTTTTCTTTTTCTTTTAATATATTCAATATACATTTAGTTGATATTTTTAAATGTCTTGACACTTAAATATTTGATTACCTAATTTTAAAAGAAATTTTTTTAAAAACTACAAATATATAAACATATACATATATATTAGGCAAAAAATTACCGCTCTAAAAATTAACCAATCAAAAATTATTGCAAAACAAAGCAAAAAAAGAAACTATAAACATTTATGCCATGGGCATGTAGTTAATTACAATGGTGGATCCCAAAGCAAATTAAGGTTAATAGAAAATTATAATGGCAAAAAGGTGATCACAGCATGTAATTATTATGATGAAATACAAATATATTTACTAAAGAAATCCGTGAAAAATTCAACTATTCGATTACGTAACCGATTTGTAATTCGTGTAGGTATGTATGTATTGTATATAAAAGTAGAAAAAGAATATAATTTTAACCAAATTATAAAAAAGCAACAACAACAAATGTACTTAAAAATAAAAATGAAATGATGATTTCAGCTTTGAAGAGGATTTTAGGGTTACTTCACATCGGTATTCATAAATGGAAGCTTTATTTAAGCGTAATATGTAAGATCATTTACTCGTGACGAGATATTTCTCATTCATCTGATTAATACACAGCTTTAGAAGAGGAACTAGCTACAAAAACTCATTTTTGCATAACTGACTGTTTGGGTATTTCATAAAATTATTAATATGCTTTTCACTACCAAAATTTTGCTGATATTAAGAAAAATGTGCCGAGATTCCGCGCTTCTCTGATTTTAAAATTTTTACGTGTTAGGAAAAGAAAAGGTTCGAGAAACTCTGAATGAGGCCTTTAAATTAATATATGAAGATTAATTTCCTATTATCGAAAGGTTTAGATGGCATCTTCATATGACCGTCCGTGTCATAAATTGAATGACTTCTTATTTTGAGCTTAAATTTTTTGTTTTATATTAATTTAATTATGTATTAAAATTTAAAAATGAATTCAAATTAATGAATCGATTAATTTAATTTAATTTAATTTAGTATTTTTCACTCATTATTTTACTTGATTTGATTTAGCAACAATTTAATAATTTCTAATAAGTAATATTTATGTATAAATTTATTATCTTAGTATTATTTATTTCATATTGGCAATTTAACTTGATTTTGTCATAGTTTATTCTTTTACTTAATTGAATTTAACTTTATTTTATTTTAGTCTGGTTTAGCTTATTTTGCTTTGTTTCATTTAATTATTTTTTGTTTCGTTTATATTAATTAATTTTATTATTTTATATTTTTGAAATTTATTTGCTTTAATTTTAGGTTATTTTATTTTATTTTTGATTAGATTAAATTTTATGCTGTATGTATGTTATTTTGTTCACACAATTTAATTTAACCTTCGTAATTTTTTTTTTTAATTTTTTATTTTTTTGTTCTATTCTACAATATTTTGCGGCCGCGGTAGCCGAGTGGTTAGCACTGCGTACTGTCTCTGCCATCGGCAGGGAATGTCAAGCCCTTCGAGTGTATCTCTGACATGAAATAAAGCTCCTCATAAAAAACCATCAGCCGTTCGGAGGCGGCTTAGTATAAAATGTAAGTCCTCCATTTGTTGGAGAAACATCAAGACGCAAAACCGCAATTTGGAGGAGGAGCTCGGCCGAAAATCGCTAAAGGGGTAACATAGCGCCATTTTTATAAATATATGCTTTATTTCGTTTAATTTAGTTTTGTTTCATTAGGTTCTGTTCTATGTGTTATTTTATTTCATTTCTAATTTTCTTTTTTAATTTTTTTATTTTTTTTTTAATTTTTTATTTTATTTTTATTTTTTATTTTACTTTTTTTTGTTGTATTTTTTTATTTTATTTTATTTAATTTTTATTTAATTAATTTTTAATTTTTAAATTTTTTTGTTTAATTATTTATTTATTTCATTATATTCTTTACATTTAAGTTTATTTTATCATTTAATTAATTAATTGTATCAAATGTAATTTTTGTTTCCTCCGTCATCTGTCTTGAAGATAGTGGAGTTATACTCAGGAGTTGTTTTGAATACTTATAGAATAAATAATATTAAATCCTCCTACATAGGAGTATACCGTAATTATTATTCTCTGGGTATGTAAATACAGCTAATGTTGACAATGCTTCCGCGTCGTGTAAGGAGATATACAATAAATAATATAGGACAACAAAAACTAAAAAAAGGTCGTTGGAAAATCGAACAACATTATTGGAAAATGTGCATGTATTCATTTTTTGTCAGAAACTGATTTATGGCCACACAACAAAAACCCAGCTACGACAACAAAGTATTGTTTAAAACTACAATGCGATCATTGGCCGCAAATCATGTAGCGCACCGACGTTCATACAAATATAAATAAGCTCTACAGCATGTCATTGTGTACCCACTTTCTTTTTTGTTTTTTATTTGCTTAGTATATTTTTTTTCTTCTCTTTTTGTGTTTGTCGGAAGGTAAAGGCTTGCGAAGAAAACTAAAAACTAAAAAAATAGAACAAAAAACAAAAAATATTGAAAAGAAATTAAAAAAGGAGACAAAAGATTTAATCTGAATGCTTTTTTCCAATTCCGTGTGTGTTTGAGCTTGCGTAGCTTTTCTAGTGCCGTAACCACTGCACTTAGCCGCATTTAAAGAGATTATTACGTTACCTACTGCGCATGAGTGCTGGCGCGGCTGAAAGCCGAAAATGGTGCACTCTTTTATGTCAGATTTACTTTGATTTTTTGTTGGTTTTTTATTACAGTGATTTTCTCTTTCCCTGCTGAAACTCATTGTTTAACGGTTAATCTACTTGTTTGCGGCACATTATGATGATTTAATTTGTCTTGTTGTCGGACTGGTCCCTTCAGGTGAAAATCGAAATTAGATTAACGAAGTGGACTTTGTTTGAGCGCGGTTGTCTGTCTGTTGCGTGTCATAGCAGCGGTGATTTAAGGCCTTGAGTACATCAAAAATTACCACACTTAACTCGCTCAATATAATAGTATCACACTCAAGTCTCCAACACGCGACAGCAATGAAGAGTGTGTTCGAGGTCGTCGTTACACTCCTTTCCATCCATTGCCGCCGCGCCGCGTATGAAGAGAGGGCTTAATTAATGGCAGTAACAACCACTAACAACCGACAACTGCCAATCTAGAGCCTGACACCTAACACACACATTACTGCCAGTCGGCGCCGGAGCGTACTGAAGGCGAAATTAACGCTGCTGCAGTCGCTGCTCGCTGTTTGCTGCTTGCTCTGACCGAGCTAGTTGGCTGGTACGCTGCAGAGCTGTGGTTTAAGGTCGTTGCTCGCCATTTGCCATTTGCCAGCGATGATTGATTTCATTTGATCACTCTTAAGTGACATTCAATCGTTGGAGACTCTTCCCGGAATAAAATTGTATGTGTGTGCGTTTAGTGGTTTGAGGTAAATATCTTTGGTTTATAGTTTATATACATATATGTATGTACTCGTATGTATGTGTATAATAAAATCATAAAGCTAAATTTCTGTGCATCTGCCTACATATCTACACACGTACATACTATTTTATATATGTATGTATGTATGTCTTTGGCACGGATCAGGTAACGCTGGCTATACTTTTACTCTTCACTTCGCTCAGCCAAGTGTAAATCAATATATGGCTACAAACATACATATACATAAAATAAAAACTGTGAAAGTTTCGGTCAAACTGAAATGCTTATGGCACTTGAAAGTTGCGAATTCAATGATGTTGATGATTTGATTGATTACATACATTTTTCATATGCTTACATACACACATATGCATATATAATATATATAATATAACTATATAAGTATGTACGCTGTAGAACAAGCAGCGACTAACAGCAAATGGTGAATGAAATCTGAAGCGTCAATTCTAATAAAAAAAAAATATATAAAATAAAAATAAAAAAAAAAAAACAAATAAAAAAATTACTACTTTTAGTTGCAGTGAAAATAACACCTCTTCGAAAAAGCTATTTGATTTCATCGACAGCGCATTGATTCGAGATAATTGTGCTCTGCAGCGAAAACCTGTTAAAAGCACCAGCAGCAATAATTCAAAAATGTAGAGCAATGAATGTTGCCTGATGCGAGTAAATCAGATTATGTGCATATATGTATGTATGTATGTATGTATGTGTGTAGGTATGTATGTATGCAAGTTTGAATATGCATGTCTAAGCTCTATTGTCTTACTTCTTAGTATAAATAGATATATATATATATGTATTGTATATATATATATATATGTATGTGTATGTACATATATGTAGATGGTAAATAGCGATTTGCACTTAACACTCACTACAATCACTAAAAAAATATAGTAGGTTTCGAAGCTTTGACTTATATACATATGTACATACATATTTGGCATAGTGAACAAAATATTATATATGTACGAGTATGTATGTATATATTTATGTAATTTTTAGGTTTATTCAACAGAAAACTAGCACATCACGTCAAAGCAATCCAAAAATTAGCGAGACAAAAAATTGCAGAAGAAAAAATACTAACTCCAACAGACCGTAACATAGCAACTTGGTCTTGGAGCAAAATCATATGTCTATTAACAGTTTCTAGCTATTTAAAGCAGTGGGTCCTAATGAGAATATCCCCGTAATGCTACAGAAGCTAAAGGAACCAAGGTTTCAATATATGTATATACTAAGGAGCCGGGAGTAAAGGTGGCCTTCCTACCAAAGACTGCAGACCTATAAGCCTCACTTCCTTCCATGAAGAAAATGCTGGAGCGACTTATGAGTAATAATACATATTATTATATATAAGATAGCCTCTAACGAAAGCAAATTTTTCGAAGCTTTCAAAAAACCCGTTTTACAGGAAATGTCTTGCACAATAGAGGATTGATTACATCATAAGCTGTAGACATAGTGAGAGCCTTCAATAATATGGAAAAAAGCTTTGGTTCTCTGTAAGATGTCGGCTTAGACGACATGGTTTGTAGATGGATGGGATCAATGGCTATCATAATAACAATTATAACATCCAGCGACTCAGCGATGTGGCAAATCTACGTCAGCGGAGAGACTTCTCAAGGGGGTTTTTCATCCCTGCTTCTATCGGTATTTCAACTCAAACTAAGCAGAGGAGGTGAAGTAAATAACTTAGCTTAAGCAGACGATCTCGTATTGATGATTTCAGGACTATTTCCTTCCACAAGGGCTATATCCTTCCTTAATCATTGTTTTTATGGAGAGGGCCTTACGAAAAATACAGTCACGGACAGCGAATAACGGGCGGGGTATTAATTCAAGTAAGACAGAGATCATGGTATTGCAATCCCTCTGTCCTTCACAGCAAACTAAATGGGAATTGAGATTGAGATCAAATTGACCTTAAAAATGATTATTGAAAAACGAATAAAGAGAGCTTATTACATCTGTAAAATAATATTTAGTAATGGGCCCCCGGATACAAAGAAATCCGGGGTATCTGCGAGACACTTGAACTAACTAGATTGAAGCACAAGCCTAGGTGCTTCGTAACACAACGCTCTACCTACCTACCCATGTGAGGAATACACCAGGAGGGCTGCAATTAAGGAAAAGAATCTTCCTTAATTTTTGATATTTGCCAAACCTGGACTCAAACCAAGGCCTCCCAAATGGTAGTACGTACAGCTAACATGTCGGCTATTGTGACCGGCAGCTATTGATCAACATAAGAAATGAAAACACTTGCAAACTCACCGCATTTGAGCCTTTCTTGCGTAGCAAACCGTCCAGGCAGAGTTGTATCTCGAACGCCTTTAAATACAGTAGATGATAACGGTTCTGCAGGCGCTCCAAACTCTCCTCCACAAACTTGGTGTTCACTGCCTCTGCAAGCGAATCAGTACTGGATATATCCAATGACTTCGCGGCCGACAGTGGAGAGCCTTCAACACTCTCTACACCGCTGTAGCTGCTAATACTCAAATCGTTATTGTCACCCTTGTTAGGTGGAGTTGGTGGTATTTGCGCTTTATTGCTGGTTGTTGATAAATTTAATTGCTCCGCTACAACTGTACCGCAACTATCAAGTGATTGAGGCTCTTCTTGATCGTCTTCCTTATTAAGTGCAGGCTTTGACAGTGGCGTCTCGCCGCTGTTGGGTGTGGGTGAGGAGGAGGAGCGGGTTTGTTCGGCAACGATTGTGCTGCAACGATCGAGCGATTGTGGTGGGTATTCGTCTTTCTGCTGCTGCTGTTGCTGCTGCTGTTGTTGTTGTTGTTGTTGTTGTTGTTGTTGTTGTAGTTGCAGTTGTACCTCTCCTTGATGTTTCTCCAATGCCAAACGGATGCAGGCGTTCACCACTCGGGCATGCGATACAATTTCATTGTATAACACCTGAAAAGGGAAATGAAATGAAATGAAATTTATTAAAAACAAAATTAACTATGATAATAACGGTGTATGATGTTGGCGCTAATGAAAAGACGCTAAAGAAAATCAAATGGAAGAAGAAGTGTACAAAAATTCAAACACTTCACTTCAACAAATCTCTGTTAAAACATTAATCATCCAATCTAATCTGATCGCAGCAACAACAACAACAGCAGCAATAGTGAAACGCCCACCAACCCAACGCCCAAGCAATTCTTCTTCATTTCAATTGCCCACCTACTTGGCAAGTTGCATTGCACCATCCGCTATTTGTTGTTGTGTGTGTGTGTCGCACTACAGTCTCTCATACAAGCAATCGTATTGTGTAAGCACAATTTGACCTTTTCCACTCTTGCATCATGATCACACATCGAACCCTGCCAGGCGGCGGGCAAAAACATAACAATTCATTTATATTAAAAACATTGTCAATGAATGTCGGAAATAAAAGATTTAACAAGCAGATTTTTGATACGACGCGTGAAATTGATGACCCCCCAGCAGGCGGGCAGCAGATAGGTAGGGAGGATCTTTAGTCTTAAAGACATAGCATTTTTTCAACTAACGGTGATAATTCAAACGGAAGTTGTAGTGTTTGAAGAGTTGCACAATTTAAAGAAATATTGTTTGATTTTTTTTTTTTTTTTTTTTTTGTAATTGAGACACAGCACAGTGTATACAGGGTCCGCCATATGACCTTAAGGAACATCTTACAGCAATAGTGAAAGAGATAGATAACGCATCGGAGCTTCTCTGTACGACTGGACTACGTCATACCGCGCCTGACATTCGGGAAGCTGCTGTCAGCTACAATATAGACGAAATAGACGAAAGCCTGGAGCAAAAGCCTCAGCTTAGCAGACAAAGCTCAGCATACTTTTACCGATGGTTCTAAAATTAACGACGGGGTGAGGGCTTTCGTTTACTGCGCCCGACTAGAGATATCCAAGTGGAAATATTTGCTATAAAAATGGCGGCAGAGTTAATGAAGTCTTCAAAAGAAGAAAACAAATTTTACATAACATAGCGGCCATTAGAAGATTACATAGGTTTATTCGGTGAAAAATTATATTTTCTACCATTTTTTGGTATATAAAAAATGAACTAGGTATATACTGTCTTAAGGATATGCATTTGAAAAAGAATTTGAGAAATTTCAAAATACCACTCGTCTGCGTTGCGAGTAGAAGTCATGATAGGAAAAAAATAAAAAAAAAGGGAAAATTTAACTTTTGTCAGGCTTTATTTTTTTTACAAAAATTTACAAAATTTGGTAAAATTTAAATTTCGTATTGAAATGACCCCGAATATGTATATATATATAATTGGCACTTTGTAACCGCTTGAGCGATTTTCGGCCGAGCTCCTCCTCCAATTTGTGGTTTTCGTCTTGATTTTTTTTTTAAGCCGCCTTCGAAAGGCTGAGAAATACACTCGGAGGGGTTGACATTCCCTGCCGAGGGGCGAACGCAATTAGAAATTTTAACTTAATTTTTTATTTAAATTAATTTTCCTTAACTTTTGGATGTTGGTCGCAAGGAGACTTGAAAACGAGCCTTCCGAATGGCAGTACGCAATGCTAAACACTCGTCTAACGCGACCGCCCAAAAATTTCATCAAGATTGGGTAGTTTTCGAGATCTTTTGACAAATGATTTTGAAACACAATTTCGAGATAAACGCGTTTAAAGCTCTGAGCCTACCCGCCTTTGAGTTCCGCAAATTTTATTCGGATCGACTTGAAAAGATAGGATAATATTCTCAAAGTTTTGTAGAAATTAGTAAGACCTATTCGAAAGAAGCATATTTTGGTTTGAAATTCGATGTATAGTTGGATTTTTACTAAAAAATCTCTTTTTCCGGGAAGCGGGCCGGTCTATAAAAAAATATATATTTTGATGGTTCGATTTTTGGACGGCGTGGAATATTTTTGTTTCCCGGCAATGGATTAGTGACCAGGGCCCAAGTGCGATTTGCTCGATACATAAATAACACTTTCTTTAGAGGAAAGGAATCTTCGACAGATTGAGAAAAAATTAGTACGATATGGATCTACGTAAGCTACGAGTTAACTTGAGTTGTGAAAAGCTTCCATCCGAATGCTTTTTACATTTGCTTAATAAGCGACTCGCGCACATCCAAACGCGTAGCAAGGTCAATAATATTATAACAAAAATAATATTTTGTATTCGATGATGCTTAATTAGGGCTTCTTATTATTCTCTGCAATGCCAATTAGAATAAAAATAGAACGAAATACACAAAAGCCAAAGCAACGTGTGACCGGGTGTACCAGTAAAAGATAAAATAAAATAAAGTGAAAAAACTATGAGTACACGGCATTAGTAATCACTAAGTGAAAACAAGTAATTAAACTTAGGTCAAGTCATTAATTATCATAAAATGTTAATTATGTATGATTATAATACAGCATGAAGGTTCTATTTCCAGCTTCCCAACTCGATCAGTCAGCGTCCGTAAGCAATTCGAGCAGCAGACATTTACCTAAATATTATTTCTTTTTTTCTTTTTCAAACAACACACACATCATAGAAACTAGAATTTTTCAAGATACGTGTATGTACATATATATGTAGAACAAAAGTATGTAAATGAAGAATAAGAGCAGGAAATAATTTGGACCGAAAATAGCCACACCAATAGATGCGTCATGTCCATTCGTTAAGTATGTGGAACGACGCACAGCCGCCCAGGCAACGCATCGCATCGCACGCCGCACAGTTTGTCATGGCAGTGTCAGCATGCCTAGGTTCTGTTGCCAATTTTTAGCGCCGAAAAAAAATATATATAAATTCTCATGATTTGTGTTAAGTGCAATAGAAGAGAAGCTAGCCAAGAGCTCATACATATTTTTAATAATTTTTTTTTTTTTTTAATAAAATAATTTAAATTATTCATACCATTTTTTATTCTTTAAGTTTAATATAAAGTAGGTATGTAGAATTCAATTATTATTATCTGCATTAATCGCATGCAACGGTTGCTCATTATCCATTTTTATTGCAGCATGCAAGGTGTGGCATTTAGTTTTCCACATAAAACTGCTGAGCGAAAGGAACTTTGTTGAAAAAAAAATTAACAGAATCAAAAAAAAAAATAATAAAAACATAAAAATAGTGCTGAATGAATGAGTAAGACAAACAACAAACAACGCTCGTGGAGTACAGTGAAAGGCATTCAAATAGAATTTGTGTTTTACATACATACATATATTTATGCTGCGCAAGGTCGCCACCAAATTGTTGTAAGTTTTCCAATTTTTTCTTTTAATTTAGATTTCATTTCGAAGGCCGTGTGAAAATCTGAGTTTTGACTAAATAAAAAAAATATAACTTGCAATTTACAACAAAAAAGAAGTATTTAAACATTAACTAATGACGTGCACGCACGCAAGTGTTATTGTTGTACAAATTATTGTTAAATTTAGTTAAAAGATAGGCGCAATTAATGACTGCACAGACACACCTGCATATGTACATATTTACATGATAATTGACACCTAGATATGGCAAGCAGCAATTAGATAAAAGCCATCACATATTGGGTTGCCCCAGAAGAAACCGGAAAGTAAATACATTTTTTTATTTTAATTTTATAATGAATTTTAATCAATTATGTAATTTCCATTTTGTTGGATGACCTTTCGCCATCTTACCGGCAACATCATTATTTCATGCTCATAGCACTTCTTGGCTTGATCTGCAAAAAACTGAACCAAGTGCGATTTTACTGCATCGTCATTTTCGAAGGTTTTGCCATTGAAAGAGCTCTGCAAAGATCGCAACAAATGGTAGTCAAACTCTCTAAGTTGTTGACGAGTGACCGAAGGTGTGTGCGGTCCAGCATTGCCCTGGTGGAATATGACACCCATACGATCGACCAATTCTAATAGATGCATGTATTCAATTTGTCCAATTGTTCACAGTGTGCTGCTTCCTCAAGACTGGATAAGGAATCATCGCTTTCACGACTCGACTCCCACGTAATTTCGTCTATCTAGAAACCAGCGTCAACACCAATAATAATGTCATCCAGCGCAGAATCCCTCTTGCCAAAATGTGCTACTTTGGACTGAGTAGGCAATTGAAAAGTAAAGTCCTCTCCCGACGAACGAAAACCAAACTCTACAGGCCCCTCATTGTTCCCGTCCTGCTATATGGTGCACAAGCACGGACGATGACAACATCTGATGTGTCGGCGTTAGGAGTTTTCGAGAGAAAGATTTTACGTAACTTTAAGTTCCTTGGTTCAGTGAATCAAGAATCAGCGGCTGCGCTGGCTAGGTCATATGGTTCGTATGGAAGAGAATACTCCAGCTTCGAAAGTTTTCGATGCAGTACCCGCTGGTGGAAGCAGAGGAACAGGAAGACCTCCAATCCGTTGGAAATACCAGGTAGAGAGGAACCTGGCTGTACTTGGTATTTCCATGCCAGTAAAGTAAGTAGGTAAGTAACTTCTCTCCAATCTCACGCTCAATTACATGACGATTAATATAGTCACAAGCTGTTCAAAAAAAATTGTCAACGCCGTCTGTATGAAAAATCGACGGTTTCTTTTTGGGGTAACCCAATACATACATCCAAATGTATGTATGTACATATATTGAATGGATAAAGAGTACACATACGCCCACACAAACATGTATATAGAATTTCAAAACATTTTTAGAATTTTACTAAAATTACATTTTTTGAGGTTTCCAAGTGGGCGTCACTTGAAACTTGAGATCTCAAGCATTTTTTCATTTTCTATTTGAACTATCTAAGCAATTAATTAGGAAATGAAAGAGAAAGACATTTCCTAAAAAGAAAACAATAAGTAATATTATTCGCATTGAGTAGGAGTCAGCTATACAAGGAATGTCCCATTAAAAGCGAGACTCTTCGAATAATGTGTAGACTTCCTTCGTTGCCATTATCTTCTGTTGTGTAACTAATAGAGCAA